CACTCTGCACCAGCGGCCACCCTGGTCATCACTGCGGGAGTATTTTACCGTAATGACACTCTGCACCATGAGCCACCCTGGTCATCACTGCGGGAGTATTTTACCGTAATGACACTCTGCACCAGCGGCCACCCTGGTCATCACTGCGGGAGTATTATTTTACCGTAATGACACTCTGCACCAGAAGCCACCCTGGTCATCACTGCGGGAGTATTTTACCGTAATGACACTCTGCACCAGCGGTCACCTGGTCATCACTGCGAGAGTATTTTACCGTAATGACACTCTGCATCATGAGCCACCCTGGTCATCACTGCGGGAGTATTTTACCGTAATGACACTCTGCACCAGCGGTCACCTGGTCATCACAGCAGGAGTATTTTACCGTAATGACACTCTGCACCAGCGGCCACCCTGGTCATCACTGCGGGAGTATTTTACCGTAATGATACTCTGCATCATGAGCCACCCTGATCATCACTGCGGGAGTATTTTACCGTAATGACACTCTGCACCAGAAGCCACCCTGGTCATCACTGCGGGAGTATTTTACCGTAATGACACTCTGCACCAGCGGCCACCCTGGTCATCACTGCGGGAGTATTTTACCGTAATGACACTCTGCACTAGCGGCCACCCTGGTCATCACTGCGGGAGTATTTTACCGTAATTACACTCTGCACCAGCGGCCACCCTGGTCATCACTGCGGGAGTATTTTACCGTAATGACACTGCGCCAGCAGCCACCCTGGTCATCACTGCGGGAGTATTTTACCGTAATGACACTCTGCACCAGCGGCCACCCTGGTCATCACTGCGGGAGTATTTTACCGTAATGACACTCTGCGCCGTCCGCTTCATGATGGATGTTAAAGATCCCCATGAAGCCAATTGCAATGACGAACAAATTCACCTTCATATTGTCTGTTTGAGCAAGTTCGTTATAGTAAAATAGAATACATGCGGACTTGTCACACAACTGCGTGTATGTTGGAAGATGTAGAACGTGATGGATGGACGCTTGCGGATTTTTCCCTAGCTAAGACGACCCTGCATTACAATTGTTACCTTTTAATTCCGGAAGACGGATTCAAATGTTACCTCGCACCACGGCGTTCCGACTTGTTTTCACCGCTGTGTGCACGGCCGTCGTTGCATAGCACTTACATTCACATTGTCAAAGTAACGAACATACATTTTCCATTAAATCAAAGTTCTAATCTTTAATCCATCTAAATGTAAAAAGGAATGCAATGTTATGCCACATTCAAGGGCCAATGTGGTAGATGGAATAGTTTCCAACTTTTTTTTACTTTTCCCTCATCTCTATCGTAGGTGCCACCAAGAGAGATAAAATGACTCCCCAAAATGATCGGGTATCTCAGATTGTCAAGCGACGCTGAGGCCACAACCACTGAGAGCCTGGGTTCAACTCTGGGTTTCTGCCACTCGCGATGAACATAGGCTCGAACGTTTAGTGAATTGACGGTGTCAGCCCGGTCACCAATGACTGCACTTAAAACCCACTGCAGCGTTTTATGAACGCTTCTTCACTTAGTGTCGCTAACATTCCAGCTCGAAGAATTGAAAATAAACAGTTTGACTTCCACGCAATGGACATCCCTCTGTACGTGGGGTGCGTGCGGATGTGCAGCGACCACTGGTGTGTGCATTAAATAGGGTATAGTTGGCTACGTACGGTGAGAAAGAAGTTCAACTTTCATGCGTACGTAAAAACATCCGCAGGCCATTCTCTACCACTGCGGCACTGACCTGCAAGAGTACCAGCTCAACATTTCGGCTCTTAAATTTTTACGCCGATAGCATAATTGGATAACATTTGGATAGAAGAAAAAAAAGAGAGATAAAATGTGGCTTTCTGGTAATTGCTCACTGGATGGAAACCATGTTTGTGTCTTTGTGTTTTGAGGGCCTTTGGCAAGGCTTTCAATGGATGAAGTCACACGAGAGATAGCTCGAACTACAAGGGCGATATGTAACATCAACATCTAGCTCGGCATCATTAATATCCGTAGCCGGAAACTCATCGTGTGCTTTCAAGTTTCAACCCGTAACTCTGGCACAATCGAGTTTTATCATCAGTTTCCCCGAAAAATCCATTCGCAAACTGTGACGAGAGGGAGCTCGTTTAATCCAAGTGACGGTTGCAGAGGATGGGAAGGAATTTGTGGTCAAATCTTGATTTTGTATACGATATATGATGGTGCCTCAGCACAGGGCATGTCTAAAGGCGGCTCTGTCCACAATGCTGATCGTGCTGATAAGAACTCGGATTAAGTTTTGAAATCCACAAGGGTACAACAACAGTTTGGTGTCGTGCATTGGATGAGCGCCAGTGGAGCGATCCAACATTATTAATTCATTTTGTGCGGTGGAATTACAGAGGACAAACAAGAGGCAGCGGGGCGACCGATGAAATGTGGAGTGATGGAGTGGAAGAGGCACTATGATGGTGGAAACATCGGCAACAGATGTCACATGATCCTCAACAGTGGGGGACTGTCGCCAGAGGTTAGTGGACCCAGCGGCCTCTGTAAAGGGGGCTGTAGTTTCCTGGTTTCAAGGATGTGGCGGTGAAAGGCATGGACACACGTTTTACAGCTTCACCCTCTCCTTATTCATTACAGGTGGTAGATCAGTGGGATTTAATTATCTAAGTACATCCAAAAGTGGTCGGATATCTGTTGTGCCAAAGTGCATATAGATGGTGCCATCACCTTCTATGGCAATGATTGGTGAATCACGCCCCAGCCCACTGAGTTACAAAGAATATGTGTCTAAATCACTTGAATATGCTAAATTTCGTCAGACTTTGGAAGCTAAGCAGGTTTGAGCCTGGCGTTGTGCGAACCTGCGCTATGGGTCTCTGTGACTCTGTTGGTCTCTATGTGGGGTGTTGTGAGCGACTGTGTGTCCATGGGTTTCTCTGTGAGACTATGGCTCTGTGTTAGACTATGGGTCTGTGTTGGTCTTTAAGCTTTCTGTGTGCCGTAAGCCTGGGTTGCGAAGCGGCCAGATGGCTTCATAGCAAATGAACGTGCACACTAGCTCAGACATAAATAACCGTGACTCCTGCAAGCAAATCAAACTACTCATTAATGTCATTTGCCAAACATCCTAATGCAAGAACATCCTAAGAAAGCAGTATTGAGACTCAATTGAGTCTTTGCTGGATTAAGTACAGGGCAATGCAGTGTTATTAATTGCATATTTCCCAAGTGGTGAAAAGTGGAATGAACATTTTACAAGCAGGCAACGAAATTTAATCTCACTTAGCAATGTATTAAATATGCCATATAGTGGTGCATCATACATTAGCATTAAAGATGACAAACTGTGTACATTGGAGCATGCTCCATTAGCTACGCCACAGATTTAAAGTTAATGAAAATTGTTCACGTGACCCTCAGAAGCCCAGGGCGGCCATTAGGACTGCAAATTGCAAAATAAGCTGCCAAAGTGTCTGGGCTCTGCTAATTACTCGTAATTATAATTAAAGGGCCGAATTGTTGTAAGAGTAATTGAGTAGGCCTCGTCACCGCGGCAACGGCGGCAGCAAAGAGCTTCTGGAAGAATCGCAGTTGTTTTGTAGGGTTTCTTTTATTCTTCTACGGCCGCCGGAAGATTGGAAGACGTCATTAGCATTGGGACGATCAGAATCTTTGTTTAGACTGCAGGAGGAGGAATCCGATGTGCTGTGAAGCTCTTTGCCACAGATGTCCATTAAGGGGGCGGCGTCTAGATTATTTTGCTGCTTTGGATTTCCACACGATAAGCCACTTCGTTGAGCTATCATTTGGGGCCAGGTCGCTTCTGAATAAGAAATTAATGGCTCAGTGGACTCTTACCTGGTTAGATAAAAACATAGTTTAGTTTTATTTGTAGATATTTTGACAGGTCCCTGCAGGGTGGGCTGGTAGGAACATTAGAATTTTGCACAATTTTATTTTTACACCCCAACAGCACGAGATTTCACTTCGTTAAAGTATTGAAAGGGGACGGACGGACGGACACATTAATCTATTAAAGGCTGGTACACTCAGTTTACAACTTCGTTCCTACCAGTATTATTTACTTCCTATACTTTTCACTCCTATCGTGTTTTGGTATTGTTTGTTATTATAACGTTATGACCTGCCCCTTTTGAACATCTGTGAAACAGAGCTTTACAGCTCATCGGATTCTGCTGCAGTCTAAATAAAGATTGTGATTCTGTTGTGATTCTGTTGAACAACTGGGGAGTTCGGGGTCACTCCGGTAGAGGCTACTGCTTCTGGAAGACGCAACATTTACTACCGGGAGATAACATCCATCTTCCGGAAGGTAATATCCATCTTCCTTGGTTCTTTCGGTAAAGTCACGTAGAATGAGAATAAAATAATAAATTGATAAAATTAAATAACAATTAAATTCCCACGACGTTTCGGCCACAACACAAGCGGCCTTCACGTTCATCTTCCGGAAGGTAACATCCTTCTTCCGGGAGGTAACATCCTTCTTCCGGGAGGTAACATCCATATTCCAGAAGGTAACATCCATCTTTCGGAAGGTAACTTCCAGATTCCGGAAGGTAACATCCATCTTCCGGAAGGTAACATCCATGTTCTGGAAGTAACGTCCATCTTCAGGAAGGTAACGTCCATCTTCCGGAAGGTAACATCCATATTCCAGAAGGTAACATCCATCTTCCGGAAGGTAACGTCCATCTTCCGGAAGGTAACATCCATCTTCCGGAAGGTAACGTCCATCTTCCGGAAGGTAACGTCCATCTTCCGGAAGGTAACAACCGTCATTCGGAAAGTAGCATCCATCTTCCGGAAGGTAACATCCATCTTCCGGAAGGTAACATCCATCTACCGGAAGGTAACATCCATCTATCTCAAGGTAACATCCATCTTCCGGAAGGTAACGTCCATCTTCCGGAAGGTAGCAACCGTCATTCGGAAGGTAGCATCCATCTACCGGAAGCGGAATTCATCTTCCAGAATTGCGCCATAAAAACTGGGAGGCGCAGTAGCACTACAGCAGCAGTAACGAGAGTGTTGTGGTCGTGTTTGTTGATGATGATGTTGTAGTCGTTGTCCGTTGAAGGCTGCTGTTGCGTTGCCGTTAGCAGCCTCTTCGGTTCCTTTAACGCCGCTGTTCGTTCAACTTCGGCACCCAACGGGTAAAGCAGAGGGCAGGCGCCAGCCATGATTAGCAGCACGGTAAGACGTCGCTTTGAGGGCCCTTTTCGGTGGTGTCCGCATCGCCATCGCTGGGGCGTTTCGGCGCGACACCAACTTCACTTGACATTGCCTGGCACCGTCCTCTGGGTTTTTTAAGAGACCTCTCACATTCGAAAGGAGTATTTTACTTTAACGAGATGCACGGCTTGCCCGCACATCTTCCGTGTGCAATTTTGAAGCGAATACGCACACGGCTGGCTTGTGGCTTAAATGTGTGTTTTTTTATGATTTTAGTTTATCCCGGGGCGGGTTGTCGCGTGTGCGCCGTGGGGGATGGCAGGGCCGGTGAGGCCCACCACGTAGGGCCCTCTTGAGAATGTGTGGTGTGGTTGTATAGTGGTGGTGGTGGCGGTGGTGATGGTTCTTGTACACTTGCTTTTGTTTGCTGCGTTTTATTTTTTTTAAACAGTCCAAGCGCCTCGTCTCTTGCGTTTCCATTTCGTGTTTAATGACGACGACGACGGCACGCCCACGCACACCGCTCTGTCTGAGTGCGAGCGATGGCCCACGAGTTTTCCCTCTCTCAATGGTTTGGGTTGGGGGGGTGGCAATGAGGCGTTGGCTGAGCCGATGGGTGCGTGATGGTGATGGGAGATGATGGCGAGGAGATGCTTGTATCAATAGTGGTGCTGGTGGGAAATGATGAATTACGCCGCTGCCGTTTCGCCTTTAATAATAATAATGCCTTGTACGGTAACAACTTACTGCGGCGTTGAATTTAAATTGTTAGTGTCATTGAGGAGAATAAATGTCCGCCTTTTGAGCAGACTAGCCTTCAGGATATTAATATCGCCATGCTTTATAGAGGCAGAGCTTAACCATTAAGAAGCCAGACAATGTACACATTCGACTACTGCATTCGGGGTGAATTATGTAAATATGCAGATATATAAATATATACTCGGTGGGTAATGTTTCGCCTCGTAAATTGAATGGCATGCTGTTTAGTAAGAGCAGTTGCACAACAGGCGTATTCATCAAGGACATTGCCTTAGAAATGTGTTTTGCAACTCGCAAACGCCTGCATCTATCCTCAAAGGGAAGGTCTGGACGTCTTGCTACGGTATTTTTAGAGTTGCCCGCAGGCGTGAGTGTGGACAGATGATATTATACTTGTACAGTGTCATGGAGAGCCATATCAGAATCTGAACATGTATTTATCTTTGAAGGAATCCGATGAGCTATAAAGCTCCTTTTTCACAAATCCAGTCGGGGCGAGTGAGAGCGTTACAACAACAAAAGTAAACAAAGCAATTCAAATTCTACCAAAAAAAACTTTTTTTTTTCTTCTTTGGTTCTTTCGTTGTGGCAAGCCGCTTGCGTTGTGGCCGAAACGTCGTGAGAATTTTATTGTGTTATTTTATTATTTTATTCTCATTCTACGTGACCTTGCCGAAAGAACCAAAGAAGATGAATCCTTACAGTCACGAAAGCTTTAAATCGAAAAACTTGTTTTGTCTTACCAAGTAAAGCCAGGAGCAACCTGGCCAAAAATGGTAGCTCAACGAAGGTGGCTTATCACGTGGATATTTCTAGCAGCTCAATAATCTAAACACTGCAAGATGAGTGTGCTGAGCTAATTACAGATGTTTATAACTGGAACGATGCGTCAATTGATTGGAAGCCTCCTGAAGGCAGGAAAAAAAACCCACAGGCCACGCCCACTAACTATGCAGCGTGGGTTCATCAAGCCCCGCCCATCACCTCCCGTCCAGCAACACACGTGGAAACATTGTTGTGATGCCCTCCCCCCCCCCCCCCCAAAGTTATTTGCATGTTATTATTCGAGTAAGAAATACAACGGAGAATAATCTTCCACTTAAATAATCGGATCGCCCATCACTAAATTGTACGTAAAATCAAATTCAACTTCTTTCGCATGGTGCGTAGCCAACAATGCTAATCCGAGGCGTGCATGTGTGTTTAGCCGCTGTTCTATGAGTTTGCTAAATACATGGAGGTAGTTGTGGAGGTGGCAGCCCTTTTTTCCCTCTCTCGGGGTGTGACTGTCACACGGTGAATAAAAGGAGCTTTATGCAGGCGTTTTGGATATGGAACGATGTTCGTGGCTTGTTCGAGTTCCCACCCAAAGTGAACCGCCCCTGCCTTTCAGGCCCCTTGGCAAATATCGTAACAGGAAGATGCTCAATTTAAAATGAATTCGTCCTCCCACCCCGCCCTTTGGCGTGTGCTGTCCTTGTGGTCTGGGAGTGGACTTGAATTTGATTTCGTCGATGTCTGTTGGGACCAGTGTGTTTGCATATTTTCCGCCGACGAGCGCTTGCTGTTACACTTACTCGGCTGGCTCGGCAGCAGAAACTCAGCATCATCATCATCATTAGTATGCGGGCCTGTTTAGATTTGATTACACGTATTGTGACTACCTCTGGAATAGTTAAACTTCTCGTATCCACTACACTCCAGCGGATATTATTGTTATTTCAGGATGCCAACCAGCGGGTACAGGAATATCTTGCACTTTCGTCTGGCTAGGAACCAGAGCATGGACGAATGTCAAAGCAGTACCTTTATTTAGCTTACTTTGTTTATATTTAGCTTACTTTGTTATAAAATAACATAATAGCGTACGACGTTTCGGTTGCAACACAAGCAGCCATCATCAGGTACAGAAGAGCTAAATTTCCGAGAGAGGGGAAACACATAACCTCAGATGTATATACAGACACCCAAGTAGGGGGAACTCGACACAGATACAACAGGGGACACAGAGAGAGAAGCATACCAGACAAACAGGGTTTAGCAAAATTTTGGAAACCATATAAAGCAACACAGACGGTCGGTCAAAACACAATTAACACATAGTCCGGTTGATCACGCTGTTTCAAAGATTGCTAAATTGCAAGTTAAATATGAAACTCAAAATACAGACCACACACACAGACATCCAAGTAGAGCGAACCAGCACAGAGACAAGCACACAGTGAAGTCGCCTTAAATAGGCAGAGAAGGTAAGGCTGAGAGACAATGGGACAAAATTAGCATGAGGTATGCATGGAGCAAAGGTGGGCGCGGCAGCACACAATGGGACAAATCAGCATGAGGTATGCAGCAAAGTGGGGCATGGCAGCACCCACTCGGAAGCAACAAGGCTCACACACAGGCAGAGACAGCACAGAGACACAAATCCAAGCCAAGACACAAAGGCAGATACACAAGCAGAGACAACACAACACACAGACCTCATACCTCCCCGAAGAGGTGGTTCAGACTTGATTTGAAGCTTTCGTGACTGCAGGAATTACTCTTTGTTTTTTTTTTCGGTAAAGTCACGTATAAATAAGAAATAATAAAATAACATAATAGCGTACGACGTTTCGGTTGCAACACAAGCAGCCATCATCAGGTACAGAAGAGCTAAATTTACGAGAGAGGGGAAACATAACCTCAGATGTATATACAGACACCCAAGTAGGGGGAACTAACACAGATACAACAGGGGACACGGGGGGAAAACGTACATGCAAATAACTACAGTAAATATAAAAACGACCATGCAGATAACTACAGTAACTATATAATACATTCGTGCGAAACAGAAATAAAGGAAAAATAAACAAGAATAAATTAACAAAACTCAATGAATAAACAAAACTAAATAAACTGATACCTTGAAATATTTTTATTCTTGTGCAAGTAAACACTTGTGTTATACTGTTATCACAAAAAGAACTATGAATTGTCTACAGTATAATCGCATAAATAAGTACAGTATTAATAATATATGAATAAACACAAATATAAGAGATGCTCGCTGAACGACTTCTATTCAAAAACGAAAAGACGGCGCGTGGATTTCGTGGAAGGTTTGGGATTAAATCGGACTAAAGAGCGAAGCGACGAAAGTCAAGGTATTGCTGTAGTTCCAAGGGTTTGGATGATTCTCAAACAAGATATGATAAAACCCTTTCTGATTGTGAAATCGGTATAATCACCAAGTGTATTTTTTCTCTTGGGCAGAGCATGTCAACCAATTACATTTCTAATTTAAAAGGAAATAATTTGTCCACCTTTTTTGATAAGGGAGAGATGCTCATAAAACATACCATGGTGTGTCAGATCTACAGAGACTAATGTTTTCCTTCAAGCTGGGATGATTGTGATGATAACCATCACAATGACTCGTGTGTATTGTGATTGATTTTAGAACTATTGACAATGAGGTGGTCTGAATTGTGGAATCGCCGACTGATAATTATCTTAGTTGCACCTCTTTAAAAAATCAGCCTTGTGTGTCGTTGAGGCCTCTCTTCATCTCCACATACATCCTGAAGACTTTCAACAGCCTCAGGATTTGCTGATTGGTGGTATGCACACTAGGGTGGAATTTATAATGACGAGCGTTCTACCATTGTGCCACGAGTAAAGATTTCGGTTGGTTCTTATTGTTTGCAATGATATGGATTCCTTGGATTATTTAACCTGACTGATTCTCACGACCTTTTCATGGAACAGTATGAGAGGTTATCTGTGTGGTATTGGTTTTTATATTTGGTCTGTTTGAGCTGCCTTTAGTTTGCTTTTGCTTTATTAAATGTTTTAACTCCTTCTGAACCCCAAAGCTATGAGAAAAGTTTTGTTACCCTTTCCTACCAGAGGCTGGCTTTTTGGGTGAATTATTTATTTTAGCTCTTCGCATTTCAAACTAATTTTGTTGATTTGTAACCATAAATTCTCTGGAAGCACGTGTTGTGACATGCACCTCAGTGCGGCTGAGTCGCGTACGCGGGGCGGTGGTATGCCCCTGCATTTAACGTTCCTCCTGCTTCCCACAAACCGCCACCCACAGACGACAAGCGTGGTGGTGGCCCTCGGGGTGATCGCTCTGACGACTGCGGGTGTGGTGGCTTACACCCTCTGGAACGCTCGCAAGCGCAAGTCGCCTGTACTCCTCAAAGACCCGGCCATCAAGTACCCGCTGCGTCTTGTTGACAAGGAGGTGAAGCGTGCACACGGATGTTACCGTGCTCGTGGCTGGCAGAGAGCTAACTAACGGGCGTAAACTGGCTGCACGCTTGTCTTAGGCACTTGGTAGCCTCGAGGGAGCCATGGTGTGTGGCACTTTTGCTCTTCAAATTGATCGAAATTTGGTGGTCACAAAAAGAGGAATCGTTACTGTGACTAAAGCATGCCAATGGTTACTTCGCTTATCTGCTTTGATTTCTAATTTGGTTGTACCTACAGAATAGTGAAAGGTCATTTGGACACTTCATTTGTAATTCATTCAGGGTGCGCTGGTTACATTGCCAGGGCAGCTTGTTCAGATTTCCTGATATAATGAGATTAGTCTTTAAGGCGGTTTCGGTTGTAGATGTCTAGCCTGGGACAGTCCGAATACAGCGATTATGGAAACGAACCACCCCCTCACCCTCAAAAGAAATTAATCTGCCGAGCACTGCAGCCAATGTTTAATAGAGGTGCAGGAGGGCTGGCCTAAAAATATTCTCCCTTGCCCAAGAAGTGTCCGTCCGCCAACAGCGCTGGAGTGCAGATATCCACATGCATTTTCTGTAAATGTCAAATGTTCCATCCCCCCCTCCCTCCACCGCAGATCATCAGCCATGACACGCGACGTTTCCGCTTCGCTCTGCCAACTCCACGGCACATTCTGGGCCTGCCCGTGGGTACGCACACAGACTCGTGTTTTCACCGCCACCACCACCACCAAGAAGTCTCTCTCACTCTCTGTCAATCAAGATTTACAGTTTCTTTAAACTTGCTAATGCCCTCCAAACTAAGATTGAAAAAGCGTTATTGCATTAGTGCTGTCTGTCTTCGAATGCATTAAGCGAGGATGCACCAACATCTGTTTATTCGGTGTTGAATAAAGTGGCTTCACGATCAGGGATAGACTCTGTTGAACACTGGCCAAAGCGCTGCTGGCTGACATGAACGCCGCGTCCCCCCCCCTCTCCTCGCGAGACTGCATCACGTGCAACGTCATCCTGTTGTGCGGCTTGAAATGTAATGTCAGCATTGCTAATTCAATACTTTGGACGGACACAAACGCGTGTTGGAAAGCGTTACAGGGTCCTTGCGTATGTATTCAGATTTAGAGCCGAGGACGAGGTGTTTGTGTGTGCGTTGCGTTTGTTCACTGCGTCCGAACGCTGCAACTCGGTAAGCCCTCGCCAAGTTTATTTACCAGTGGTTGCGGTCGTGTGGATGCTTGCAGGAGGAGTAGTAAGACCACTACGGCTGGTGTCTCTGCTTGTCTGTTGTACGCACAGGTCAGCACATCTACCTGTCGGCCACCTTTGATGGGAACCTGGTGGTGCGCCCATACACACCCGTGTCGAGCGACGACAACAAGGGTTACGTTGACCTCGTCGTCAAGGTGAATGTCGCGTGAACCTGTGAGCACTTGCAAGCAATGTCATGGCTCATGATAGATTTTTTTTTTTGGTTTGGGCTACGTAATGATCTGGCCAAACTTTGTTGTAAGACCCTCCGCCACCCGACGTAACCAGAAAAATTGAACGTCCGTAAACGTGGAAATTTCATTTGGTTTTAGTATGTTTAATGGTGGATGGTCTTGCAACACAAATTGGGCCAGATCATTGAGGCTTAACCCAATCATTTATGAATCAATGTTTATTTGTGCTGTGAAGTCAATGAATACATTAATGGTTCTTTCTAGAAAGCACAACTTGCATCATGATCATAGTGCCGCCACATACATATATATAAAAATATATATATCCTAAAATCCAATAAGCCACGTTTCAAGTGAGGCATGTGACCCAATTCGATGAACAAGATTACAGCCAAAGTGGAGTGAGATTTAATTTATAGGTCCTAACTCTTTGAAAATGAAAAAAATATGACATGACTCGAGGGCAAACACCAATATTGGATTCACACTAGACATGGAATGATGCATTGATTGTATTGATTGAAGTTGATTCTTCGGCTTTACAATACATGTGTTCTATTGCGTTGTTAGATAAATAATGTACGATTAAATGTAAATGGTATGTTGAAGTTACATTTAGGCTAAAGGCACAAAAAAAGCTGTATGAAGCAATACGAAAGAAAAGAGAAGTGACACGTATGGAATGGAAAAAATGAGACTAATAATATATTGTCGAATTGACGAAACGATGAAATGCTTAGAATCATCTATTGTGTAGATTTGTGTAGATTATACACAAAGCCTCCTCAGGTTCTGCTTAGAGGCTTCCATGTTTTGGGCTTGTAGGCTCCTGCAGGTTTTATTTTTGTGTGCTCCTGTGTCAAAGTCTGTGATTTCCTGCTGCAATTAGCATTGAAGCAGTGCTCATATCCTGTTTACTGCCATGAGCCAGTGGTGGGAATTCCACATTCCTATGGGGGGTAGGGGGGTGAGTCTAGCCCAGGAGTCCAGTTCACCTTGGCAATCCAGTTCACCATGGGAGTCCAGTTCACCATGGGAGTCCAGTTCACCATGGGAGTCCAGTTCACCATGGCAGTCCAGTTCACCATGGCAGTCCAGTTCACCATGGCAGTCCAGTTCACCATGGGAGTGCAGTTCTCCTTGGGAGTCCAGTTCACCATGGCAGTCCAGTTCACCATGGGAGTTCAGTTCACCATGGGAGTCCAGTTCACCATGGGAGTCCAGTTCACCATGGCAGTCCAGTTCACCATGGCAGTCCAGTTCACCATGGCAGTCCAGTTCACCATGGGAGTGCAGTTCTCCTTGGGAGTCCAGCTCACCATGGCAGTCCAGTTCACCATGGGAGTCCAGTTCACCATGGGAGTCCAGTTCACCATGGGAGTCCAGTTCACCATGGGAGTCCAGTTCACCATGGCAGTCCAGTTCACCATGGCAGTCCAGTTCACCATGGCAGTCCAGTTCACCATGGGAGTCCAGTTCACCATGGGAGTCCAGTTCACCATGGGAGTCCAGTTCACCATGGGCAGGGGTCGGCATCCTGTGGCTCTGGAGCCACATGCGGCTCTTCAAGGGACTGCTTCGTGATGTTATTTATTGAGGACCGTCGCGTACAGAATTCGAAAAAAAATGTCTGCTCTTGTCTTGGTTGCCGACCTCTGGTCTGGCCAAAGGAGGAAAACCACTGACTTCTCCACAAAGCGGTGTTAATTTTCTGGACCCCCGAAGGGATGATGGGCTATTTCGACCCCCTCCCCCCCCAAGTCAGGATTTGAACTCGCAACCTTTGTGATTGGCGAGCCCTCGCAACCATCCTGGGCACCGCAAAGCGTATCTCTCAACTGCGGTCGAGCGAAATGCAAACCACTTGAAGATAGACGCTTGTGGAAATTAATGTTGAATTTCACTTTTTGCAGTGAAGAGTCCAGCTTTTGCTCGCTGTATATCCCAATGCATGTGCTTCATTACACAAGCAAGGCATAATTGCACCCATGTTGAAATAAATAAATAAACGTCATCTCATTACCTTTTAACAAATAAATAACACAAACGGCTAACAATATGACGCTGTCTTCCAAAGAGAGGGCAAAAGGTTTTCTGTAGCGCTTTTACTTTCTCCGTGCAACTCTTTAATTGTAGCACTTTTTTCAGATTACACAGAACATAAAGCTGGGTTTGTTAATGTTGTTTTTGCATTAACGGTAACCAGATGAAGAAAACCGTTTGGCAATTCGCCCCACGTAGAAAAGTTTATAGCATTAAACATGCACGTTTTACCTTTTTTAACTGAGAAACGAAGGGAGCCATCGCAGTGGTGTCATGGTGAGCACACTGGACTTGTAATCCAGAGGTCACTGGTTTGATGCCATCTCCCAGGGTGTCAGCTGAACTAAGAGGGGAAAGTGTATTAAATTCCACCAGCAGCTCTGTCCACCCGCTGTACTGGACATCTGTGAAAAAGAGCTTCATATCTCATCGGATTCCTCCAGTCTAAATCAAGATTATGATTCTGTACGTGTGGGTACATCGCAGTCAATGAGCAGGTGGAGTGTGTGGTGTGGTGAAGCGTGGCTACGCCACATTTAAGATGTCTCCTCAGCGTGGAAGAGTAGACCAATGCCCCTCTTCGTGGAGGCTCTTTTGCCAGCAGTGGCATGACCAAGGAAAGCAATTTCAGGGTTGCACCTTTACCCTTTAACTGAAGCATGAGGCCGACATGCGCATGGCCCACCGTGCCATCTGTACGTTAGCGCACGGTGCCAAACGGTATGTTCACTCAATCTGCACTGGAAATGGTAAGCGGACCCTGACCGTAGCAACTGCAAATCGCTTCTGAAAACGGATTACCGGTATTACCGGGTGTCGTTAACAACCCGTCGTTAAACCTACGAAACGCGCGTGGCTTGTGTTGTGTACTGTAGGTGTACCTGAAGGGTGTTCACCCCAAGTTCCCCGAGGGAGGCAAGATGTCCCAGTACTTGGACAGCCTGCCACTGGGTGACGCCATCGAGTTCCGCGGACCAAGTGGTCTGCTGGTTTATAACGGCAACGGTAAGGGTCCCGCGCTGCCCATCCCGCCCACCATCTGCACATGTCTATCGCCAAGCTCCACGTAAAGCAGCGCTCTGCTTTGCACCGTTGCCACACAAACGAATAACGAATGTACTTGTGTGTGTTGGTTATTGTTATGCGTGTCCACATATAAACTCTACCAAAAATGGAACCACAGGTAAACGTGCTGAACCGGCGCACAGCCGATGTTCTGTATTTTATTAAGATGGGTGCTCAACTGGGACCGCTTTGATGGCCTTGGCCCAGTCACCAATGATGTAGAGATCCCACCCATTGGCTTACAAAGAGACCCATAAACTCGCATGAAGAACCGTTGTCTCATGTAGATTATGTTGTAATTAAACTGCATTCTCAAGTGTAGCAAGTTGATGGTCAGAGCCCATTCTCCAATGACTGCACGAAAAAAAAGATCCCCGTTACATTCGCTTCTCCAATTAATATGGTCAAATCACAGCTGTGTGCATATAAAATTCTTAGACGGTGACTTGTCTGTCACAAGTTTTATGGCAACGTGCTGCCCCCTACTGTGTGCACCAGAGCTTACTTAAAGGGATCTTAAAATAAGTTCTGCGATATCCACTTCCGTGGGCCGTTCTTCAACACGAAGGGTTGCACTGCCCAGTGAGGCTTCTGACGGGATCTGTTTCTTTTGATGTGTTGTATTTTAAAATGTGACTCTCCACGCTATATGAATAGCTGTCATGATTGCAGTTATTTAAAAACGAACACGATATACGCTCATGCCAATGGAGCTATGCACTTTAAAATCTAAATTGGAAACTCATTTCTCTCGAGCTGCTTTGTGTGTTTAGTTTGTCCTTCCCCCCCCGCACCTCCAATTAGCACTGCTGGCTACGTACGTTGTGAAATAAATTATAGATACATAAATGGCAGCATGTTTCGTTTCACTCCCACACACGATAAAACATTGTGCACATTAATTTTGAGCCGTTGTGTAAATTAGTTGAGACCACGGCAGTGACGAACGTCGCACATTGCGCTAGGGTAGTTCTAACCACACTTCACTGGCACAAGCCACAAGATAGCGGACGCTCTATCCTGCTTGATGGGCAGCATCAGATGGCTAAAAATAACTTTGCACAGACGTGTCACGTTTCACAAAGATGTCAGTAACGTGCCACTAAAGGTCCTTGGGGTCATCCCATATACATGCATTTATTTTTAATCAGAACATCATTATATTTTAATGCGTGTGTCTCATTACATAGTAATTCATTGTCAATAATATGTTGTCATTTATGAATTTGATTTGATGCCTTTTTCTTTGCGTTTCTTCTTCAAGAAAAATCTGTTTAAGAATATATATTTTTAAAATATATTGCCTTTTAACTCCATCTGCATTGCTTTATATTTTTATCTTTTTTAAAATATATTTTCATTGGTCTCTTTTGGTCTCATGTCAAGGTGAATTTGCCATCCGTCCGGACAAGAAGTCGGAGCCCAAAATTAAAAAGGTTACCAAGGTTGGGATGATTGCCGGTGGCACAGGTCAGTTGAGCTCCTGTCTGTCACATCGCGTCTAAATGCCATGTTTGCATGATGAATGTTAGCCTTGAGAAGAAAAAAAAACCCCTATTATTATAATTACACATTTGATGCAGAACTTAATTTATTGCAGGTTATTTTAATGTGTGTTTTTTACGTGTTGCTAAGGGGATGCTGCTGCCACGGACTTGCACTTCAGAGGCCACTGCTTTGATCTCCCGGCATGGCCTCTGTACATCCAGCAGCAGTATCATGGGTCACATCAGTCAATCAGCGGGGTCGCATGTGGTGAGGTACAGTGTGGGTACTTCCACGTTTTTTAAGATGGAAGAGTAGGCCAAATACCATATAGAGGGCTGCCGCTCTAGAGCTCCCTCTTCTAATTCAAAGGGTGGGGCGGGGGTCCCCTTCAGTGGCATGAGAAAGAATTGGCAGTGCTGCACCTTGGCCTTTTACCTTGTGTGTTTGCCGAGCGAGGTAGTTGCTACAACACGCGTTCTTTTGAATTCGCTTGAGGCTTTGGCGATGTCGTCCGTTGTTTCTTTTTACATTGAACAGGGATCACCCCGATGCTGCAGCTTGTTCGGCAGGTGATGAAGTCTTCTGACGACCACACCACTTGCTCGCTGATCTTCGCTAATCAGGTACAGGCAGACGGGGGAATTTTTTAGCTTTTATTATAATATAATTTTCTATTGGTTCCCAGTTGATATGTCAATAATTCACCCCCCCCCTTCCCATTGTAAGTCAATGTAGTGTTGCAATGTGGGGTTGTGATTCGTAAAAAAAATGGCATTGTGTAGTGCCTCTTGTGGCTGTAGGGGTCAGAGTAATTGCAGCATACAAATACAAATTAATTGGCCCTAGCATGCTTGATTTCATGGATGTACGTTGAGCGTAATAATTCTTTTCAACCGGAAATCTATGCCTCGTTTCTGCCTTTGTTAATAGTCATCGTGACAATGCGTTGATGAACATGGCCAGAGATTCTGTACCATATAATCTTGCCACTTTTAAGAAATCATTAAACCTCACGAACATTCCAAATTTAAATTGTATAGTGAAAACATGATTATGCATCTTAAGCTGTGAATTTTTTTTTGCAGTCTATGGCTGTTCCGTGGATGTATTGCATGTTGTTTTGCCAGCTCGTACTCGGGACTGATATATATCCGCTCATGTTTTTGCAGTTATTAAAACAAATCAGCAATCATATTCTTGGTTCTTTCGGTAAAGTCACGTAGAAGGGAAACAATAAAATAATAAAACAATAAAATTATCACGACGTTTCGACTGCAACACAAGCAATCATCATCAGATGTGAAACCCACAGCAAGAAAATTTGAAAAAAGTGGCTTTTTTTAACGTTAGCACCACGGAGAGTGATTTGGCAGTTATTCAGATGGACGAGTCCATCTATGTTGGGAAAAGAGGGGGGGGAGACGAAAATAATGGATGCAGTCTGAAAGCCACCGTAAGCGTGAACAATCAAGACCTGAAATGGTTGATCAAATCCTTCCAATGATTGCTAAGCCACAATCCATCTTCTCGGTTGAAATTGTCTCTGTGTTTGTATATGTGGATAGCCTCATGAACGAATCTCTCATGGTAGCCAGATGGCTTGCAGAGAACCTCTGTCTTGGGGAAGTCAATGTCATGTGAGCCTACTGAATTATAAAAGTGATCTGCCATAGCCGAGGTGTTGGTCCTACCGTGTTTTAGATCTGCTTTGTGTTCACGGATGCGGTCCGAGACATGTCGTTTGGTTTCTCCAATGTAACTACTACCACAGAGGCAACTTAGTTTGTAGACGCCAGGGTACTGTATGTCTGGAATCACATCTTTTACAGACGGAACCAGATCACGGATTTTATGTAATGTGTTGAATCGGACCTGGATCTTGTGTTTATTCAAGATTTTGGAGATTTTTTGTGATCCCCGCAATGTAGGGTAAAGTGATGGTTTTGAAAGGCTCCTCAAGACGGTCTTTCGTCATTGTTGGAATGATAGTTTTGCGGATTGTGTAGTCGGAGTAACCATTATCCTTAAGAGCTTGGTGTACGTGCTTAAGTTCACTGGCTATATGTTCCTGGTCGGATATGCATTGGGCTTTATGGTGCAGAGTCTTGATGAGGGAATTCTTCTGGGATGGATGGTGGTGGGAATCCTGTTTCAGGTAAGCATTCGTATGGGTAGCTTTCCTGTAGACAGTGGCTCATTGAACCATCAGGTCTCTTTTTTTATTAGGACATCCAAAAAAGGTAGCTTGCCATCTTTTTCGACTTCCATGGTAAATCTGATGGCTGGGTGTATGGAATTGATGTGGTCGAGGAATTGGTCTAGAGCAGGCCGGCCATGTGGCCAGATGACAAAAGTGTCATCCACGTACCTCTTCCATAAGGTTGGGCGCAGAGTGGCAGTCTGGATGGCGTCTGTCTCAAATTTCTCCAGAGGTACGTGGATGACACTTTTGTCATCTGGCCACATGGCCGGCCTGCTCTAGACATTCCTCCACCACATCAATTCCATACACCCAGCCATCAGATTTACCATGGAAGTCGAAAAAGATGGCAAGCTACCTCTTTTGGATGTCCTAATTAAAAAGAGACCTGATGGTTCAATGAGCCACTCTGTATACAGGAAAGCTACCCATACGGATGCTTACCTGAAACCGGATTCCAACCACCATCCATCCCAGAAATTCCCTCATAAAGACTCTGCACCATAGAGCCCAATGCATATCCGACCAGGAACACGTAGCCAGTGAACTCAAGGACGTACACCAGGGGCGGAGCCAGGGGGGGTGACAGGGGTGACATTCTGCGTGTAAGTGTACGACACTCGGTCTGGCGGACTCCGTGCAACTGCATTGTCAGTGTGTCGCCAACCGATGGCGTCTAGTTCAACAGCCTGACTCTCTAATCATTCTTGAAATAAAAATTTGTTGAATGTCACCCTGGCCTGAAATCCTGGCTCCGCCCCTGACATACACCAAGCTCTTAAGGCTAATGGTTACTCCGACTACACAATCCGCAAAGCTATCACTCCAACTATGAAGAAGGACCCTCTTGAGGAGCCATTCAAAACCATCACTGTACCCTACATTGCGGGGATCACAAAAAAATATCTCCAAAATCAAACACAAGATCCAGGTCCGATTCAACACATTACATAAAATCCGTGATCTGGTTCCATCTGTAAAAGATGTGATTCCGGACATACAGTACCCTGGCGTCTACAAACTAAGTTGCCTCTGTGGTAGTAGTTACATTGGAGAAACCAAACGACATATCTCGGACCGCATCCGTGAACACAAAGCAGACCTAAAACACGGTAGGACCAACACCTCGGCCGTGGCAGATCACTGTTATAATTCAGTAGGCTCACATGACATTGACTTCTCCAAGACGGAGGTTCTCTGCGAGCCATCTGGCTACCATGAGAGATTCGTTCATGAGGCTATCGACATATACAAACAGAGACAATTTCAACCGAGAAGATGGATTCTGGCTTAGCAATCATTGGAAGGATTTGATAAACCATTTCGGGTCTTAATTGATTGTTCACGCTTACGGTGGCTTTCAGACCGCATCCATTATTTTCGTCTCCCCCCTCTTCTTTTCCGAACATGGACTAGTCCATCTGAATAACTGCCAAATCGCTGTCCGTGGTGCTAACGTTAAAAAAAACGCCACTTTTTTCAAAAATGTTCTTGCTGTGGTTTTCACACCTGATGATGATTGCTTGTGTTGCAGTCGAAACGTCGTGAGAATTTTATTGTTTTATATTTTTATTATTTTATTGTTTCCCTTCTACGTGACTTTACCGAAAGAACCAAGAATATGAATCCCTGCAGTCACGAAAGCTTTAAATAAAAATTAAAAATCAGCAATCGTGGTGTATGTGAAAAATAAATTGGGCAACACGAAAAAGGGCACCCTTAGAAACAAAACAATAAAAATCAACATGGAAGAGAGCAACATTTCAAGCTTGTCAGCTGCCGCACTGCTGTTTTTCGGAAGCGTATTGCGTGTCGTGCCGCGGGAGTACATCTTCTCACGGCCGTGACCGCTGGCAACTTTTGACAAGTGTGACAAACTGGCTGGAAAGTGACATTTAGCACACCACAAAAAAAGCACGTGTATTTTTTGAGCTTCCTCGCCTCCTGAAGGGAAAGCTGTGCTCGTGGCAGCAGTCCAACCGCTCGCGCTGTGACCAACGAGCGTGCTCCGTCTCGCTACTGACGACGCTCGCTCTCGCCGCGAGCAAGTGACACATAAATGATGAACATCTTGGGCTGTATTTTTAAAATGTGTTTTTTATTGTGCCATTTCTTTTTTCTTAACTGCGCGAGAAAACAACATGCAGTTGTTTTGACCGATATGCCGGCGTTGTATATTTTTTTGGGATCGTCTTTTACCTACTTGCTGCTATCCGCCCGTCCGGCCACCCGTTTGCCATACCTGCCCATCCACCCTGCCTTACACCCTACATCTTTTAAACTAAACTTTATTTTTCTATTTCGATTTAAAGCTTTCGTGACTGCAAGGGTTCATCTTCTTTGGTTCTTTCGGTAAAGTCACGTAGAATGAGAATAAAATAATAAATTGATAAAATAAAATAACACAATAATATTCTCACGACGTTTCGGCCACAACACAAGCGGCCTTCATCAGGTGAAGGGACGAGACTGTCTGGAGGACAGCGCTGGAGCGAACACAGCCAAGCTCAGACCGCGACCTCTAAGCTGTGTGAGAAGGCCCACTGAGTTATGTAGCTCTTTTTCAGAAGCAACCTGGCTACAAATGATAGCTCAACGAAGTGGCTTATAGTGTGGAAATGTATAGCCAAATACTCTTAAACTCATGTTTCTAAATGTGAAGGGAAAAACCGGAGCACCGAGAAAAAAAATCTACGCGCCCACGGGGAGAACATGCAAACTCCAAATATACAACAGGCGTCGGGGTCAGGATCGACCCCACAACCTCTTGTATACCGGTCGAGGGAATTAACATCTCGCCACCTCTCTTCTCAGACAGAGAAGGACATCCTGCTTCGTGATGAGTTGGAGGAGATCCAGGCACGTCACCCCAACAAGTTCAATCTGTGGTTCACGCTCGACACTGCCACGGAAGGTACGTCGGGGTGTGCTACTTGGGATTAATCCACCAATCCATCCTCGCCCCCCCCACTCCCCCTTCCCACCTGAAAGTCGATGAATTGCCACGATACAGGATCGCAATGTAATTCAATGAATCTATTCTTTCTTGTCTCGTATGTGCCATCCGCTTTGTACTGCTTGTCTCATGTTTAGTGTCATTCTCTCACCCTGAATTTAACATTTATATACAAGTAAATAATGTAAATGTGTACAGTTCGATGCGCGTGTGTTTGGCTCAAGAATCGATTTTTATCGGCAAATCAATGGATCTTCGCTTGCCTGGGGTAATTGTGGAGGCCCAAGGCCCTCAATATGATGTTCAAAAGTAACGGATTACCGCAACATTTGTTTTGTATTATTGCTCCGTTAATGTCACAATTGTTTCTCCTCGCATGGGATGATTGAACTGTGATCGCTTGGCTGCGAGGACCTGTACGTGAGCGCTTGTGTTCAGATCCCGCCGTTCATTCAGGCACCTCTGTTTGATTCTTCCCGACAGACTGGGATTTCGGCAAGGGTTTTGTGACAGCCGAGATGATCCGCGACCACCTTCCCCCTCCGGCGGATGATGTCCTCATCCTCATGTGCGGCCCTCCTCCGATGATCCAGTTTGCCTGCTACCCGAGCCTCGACAAGCTCGAGTACACGCAGGCCATGCGCTTCTCCTACTGAGGGCCTGCGCCGCTCAACCAGCCATGGATGGCACCGTCGTTTTAACGCCTCTCGAGCTGTTTTCATAGGTAGCTGTGAAACCAAAAAAAAAACAATGGTGCTTGTTTTTACGCCGATGAAAGAAATCCTCAGCAGGGTTACTCGGTGTCACACCTAAAACAGCAGGGCCGTGTGCCAGATTTGGAGAAATTAAATCGATTAATTGCAACCACCAATTGCCCCAAAACTGGTTCACAAATGCACACATTCAGGCCAGTCTTATGTGTTCCCCCGTTGTGCTGCACAGGGACAAGCTGCCATTGGGGAGGATCCCCTAGGATAAAAAAAAATTGCTCTGATATTTGATTGTTATGGGCGCAATAAAAATTGAACTTAATCTTTGTTTCATTAAAGTTAACTTCATAAAGGAAAGCTCTTGTTGCCAGGAACTTTGACCAGATGGTTTTTGTACTCCTGGTGGATTGCCTCCCGGGGTTTGTTTTCTTTAGTTGTGAGATGAAGCTAAGAGCCACGTCACAGTCGGTATTTGAAACTTGGTCACCAGCCCACCGCGCGCCTCCCTCGTAACGCGCCAAAAGCCACACGCACTGCGCGAGCCTGAGGACCGACGGAACGGTCGGCGTGTTTTGCATGCTTCCTGCACTCATTATATCAGCAGCTGCCGTGCTTTTCAAAGAGCTGCCGGCAATTAACAGTCCTCGAGCCTTAAGAGACGGACGTACCGACGAACCACTTGAGCGATACATTTTTTTGTCAGTGCGGTGTAAATGGCGATCCACCACTTTTTCCTGGGTGGCCCCACAGCGACGCGACGGGTACAGACGTAACAAAGTGCCGTGCAAAAAAAATTAGACGAGATGGCCTCCTTCACGCGTGCACCGTGACTGGGATTGTCGTTTTTTTTTATTAGAACAGAACGCAAAATAAGATTACATAGAAACCATTATTCAGGCGGGGGTGGTTGAATGTGTCCCATTTGCTTGCATAAGACGGTAGCCCAGAAAAGTCCATAGGTTTCCGAGCTGCAGCCTGCCAGCTTGCAGGCTCCGATAATAGCGTATTGTTTTGAATCTACTTTTAGGCCAAAGTTTTGTTTACGTAAACGCGTTAACTCCAATGCCAAGCTGAGGGTGACCAGCGCTACCGTCTGGAGCTGGCGCGCGTAACCCGCTTGTCACGCCCACACGGAACGCTCGGACCTCAATCAAGACGGGGTGAAGCCGTGTGCGGCTTTGTCCGTTGTGCCCGATTTGCATGGTAATCGGAAACTGCCGTCGGATATTGCTTTGGCTGCCTTGTTAGTAGGCATGTAACACTCTGTCCCCATCGGCATTCAATGGATTGCCGTGATTGGAGGGGTGGGGTTCACAATTCAATACAATGATTGATTTTTGTTGTTTCCACTGCGGTGTGTGTAGCGCCTGTAGTGCCTGTAGAGAATTTCATGAACCGATCGACATCTGATAATATTGTAATATCACGATTCTTGTACACGCAATCTATTGCACGTGTCGTTATGTGCAAAGCATTTATATTAATCCATTGATGTATTGTTACACGCCTATTAGGTCAAGTAATAACATGCAACGAAACCGTACAGTTTAAGTTAATCCGTCCAGCATTCGACCAAGGTGATTGTTACTCCGAGCTGAAGAGGGGGTGTGTCGATTCAAGTCGGACTTGATAAACAAAACATACATCTATACAACCTACGCTGATTATTATACCACAATAATATATCTATTATACAACAACAATTCAGCGTTATTTAAGTTTCATATTTGCTTTCAATGTGTATGGCTTACCCATGTTTAGTGCGAGATGCGCTAAATGTATTTTTTTTTTAATCCGTGTATCAATATTCTTATTCTGTGCGCCACGATCCTGGCAGGCCATTCCCTGTAACACGCGCACGTCTTTGACGTGTTTAATTTGATCGTGCTCATTTCCGTCGTGCCTTTTAATTAAACGTGCACTAAATTGGCCGCCCGAGGTTAGCGATTTAAATGTTTTTGTTCGTCATTCCCGATGTTGCTTTGCTCTCCGCTGAACGTTGAACGTTGATAAAAGCCAAGGGGTGTGCCGCACTTTTCTGTATTTCACGCGTGCTGGCATTTGAAGTGAACCCGGGACGCTCTAAATAAACTCCCCATCAAAAAGCGTTTGTCTGATTTCATCGCCCCCCCCCCCCCCCTAATTAATGGAGGCGTTCTCAACCTGTTAAGTGTGGTAGTACCCCCCACCACCCCCAATCAACACCACTGCTCCCTACGCTGCCCCCTCCTCCCCAGCTTCCCGCTCACTCATGGCGCTCGCACCGCTGCATTGGCGCGCCAAGAGTTGCTCGGGCATAGCGATTGCACTGCGTGGATGTTTTCCTGGGCGATTCCCTTCAGCTGCTGCTCCACTGCTCGTCTCGACCACTGGCCTGCCATCCCTTGTTGGCATCGTGTGGCCTGCTCAGGCCCACATCCAATTAAGAGAAACAACCCTCAATGCCCGCTTTCCTAGCCAACGGCCAATCACCATCGTAGGTTAAAACCTAAAACCGGCTGGAAATTATATCGCATACAATGGCGGGACTGCCTGCACACACAATTATCGCGTGTGGAATCTTCCTCTGATGAACTCCACGTGGCTCAAATCTCTTGTGCAGGATGTAGTGACCCATCCATTACCCTTCGTTCGTTCTGCACGGTATCCATCCTGCAGCCTGTGTCCCCGGGTTGAAAACGGTTGCTTTATTAAATGCGATTTGTGTTGTGGGGCGCGATACAAGTAATGTTGAATTGTGATAATAGCCAGTGAAGTAGTTGTACTGCTTTGTGTTTTGTTTCTCACCACATTAAAAGCCAAAGAAATCGTGTTTCTTTTCATTTTCAAATGTTTACACATTTTAAACATCTATTAGAACGCTTGTTTATTTCCTATTTAGAAGATTTAAACAAGACGGCAGCTGGCGCACCGTCACACGGACTAATTTCGTCGCTCCATCGTGGAGGGTGACCGCTGGGGCGCGTTCCCTCGGCGTGGCCGCCTCTCCATCAGTCTCCACCACGTGTCCTACCCAAGCCCGACCCACTCGCTTTTCTCAAGTCATAATGATGTCTTAAACTCGCATACGTTCTCACATCCATGCGCACGCACAATGCAACGATTATAGATGCAAAAGTGTGCGTTTTAATGTGCGTGGGTTGTGTGTGTATGACGCCACGCTGGGCTTAATAGGCGCTCGCTAACAGCACTTGCCCCAACAGTCTGTTTAAGGCTATACACGGAATGGCGCTTGCGAACGTGTCCGAGTGCCGTCGCTGCATTGGCTGTAAGAGCTGCGCGTACGGCAACAGAACTGAGGGCCATATTTTTTGGAAGTGCGCATTTGGGTGAAATTGCCACGCCACTTTTCAGTGTGCCAAATGAGCATCAATGTTAGGGTTGTTTTTAGATTGAATATATCGCATATTTAACATTAACACATTGCATAACATCAGTTTTCAACTATAAAATGGAGAGGACACATTTTCACCGATATTTGGACCCAAAACGTCATGGGTTATTGATGTCGGGGTTTATTGTTGGAGGACAAAGCTCGGCAAACTTGTTCTCACAGACAGCATCCCCCCCCCGTCTTCCATCACACTCATTGATTTGAATAAAATTCGCAGACGATACTACTCGTCTCCTTCACATCAACGTCTCTCCGCATCAACATAAACAATTATTTATCACAAATCCCATCTGCATACACGCGCGCCCTTCTGTGAGTGTATAATTTCAGCAGAATTTATTGAAGACGAGCAACACACTGGACCATTTTCGACGTGCCAGGTGTCCTCGGCAGTCGGGTTTTGTTTAATCGAAGGGCAATGCTCGTTTATAATTCTCGTGTTAGCCACCAGAGGACGCAGTCCGTGACACCACGCCAGCTCGCCATGGAGATATAAGGGGCCGTCCATAAATGACGTCACGCGATTTTTGACGATTTTTGACCCCCCCCCCGTCACACGGCGTTACAAAAAGTCAGATCCCCCCCTCAAATATGACAGCGCTGCACTCTGATGTAGGAGAAAACATTTATTAAAACGTCTTTAATTAAGTAGAACGTGTTGTCTATATTTAAAGTTGATCATTTTGATGTGACGTCACATTTCTCACCCCCCCCCCCTCGTCACACATCGTCACAAATGTCCAACCCCCCCCCCCCCAGGTGCGTGACGTCATTTATGGACGGCCCCTTACAACAATATTGACAAGGTTTAAAGTATCCGAGTTGCGCATTACTGTTTTACCGGTAACCGGATTAAATTAAACCGGTTACCATATTTACCGCACGTAGAGGACATGTTCTGCGATAAACATCACATTCTGGGGAAGGGGCAGTCACGTGACCTCGTCGTTCGCCAAGTGTTGCAAAAATGTATGTGTTCATTGTTTCGAACCGAGCGGCCGCCCTGGTTATTACTGCGGGCGTGCCTCGCCCTAACAAAAAAATTACCACGTGCTGCCTGCTTCACTCACGGCGGACGTTAAAGATCCCGTGACGTCGTTCGGCCATGGGAGCTGTTTGGCCATACTTCACCACGCTGGTCAGCGCGCGTGGGTGAATAATACATATTTAATGGTATAACGTTTATTAACCGACATATCGACAGTTCAGAGAAAAAAAAAAGCAATTCGGCGCGGGCGGGACACAATATCGCCGGCTTCGGGGATGGATGGCCGATTGACGAGGCTGCTGACGGAATGGCAGCCAAAGGGGAGGAAACGCGCGCCGAGAGGCACGTTCACCGCGGAGACGGAGTGCTACAACGATGGAATGTTGGCAGCAGCAGCCATGTGGAGGGATTCCGACGGCGTAGGGCGGTGTGGGAAGGGGCTAGAAGGGTGGGGCTGGAGGGGGGCGGGCTTCATCCAGCAGTGGATAGATGACTGGGCGATTGCTAATTGGTGACTCACCGCATCGCACGCTATTTCAGAGCCGCACACATTGTATCATTGTATTATTATTGTATTATTGTATTTCTGCGGCTCTGGAGTTTTTCCGAAGAGCTCAACAACAATAAATCTCGCGTGAGGCTCACGCGAGAAGCATCCTCCTCCGCCGTGACTCGGAGCGAGTTTACTTCCATTTTACCCTGCGTGTCCCTGGAACACCTCGCGTGTGAGAGCGAGGTTACAAGGGTAGCAATTGGGGGAAGCAGAAAAAAAAGTTAATTTCGTAACCGCGAGCCTTCATAGAAGGACAACAACACAAACCGGCCATCGTGGCTCGGCGGACGTCGAGAAACGTTGACACCACCTCCGGGGGTTGCATCCGTCACTCGCATTCCAATGGGATCGATTGAATATCGGCATCCCATCCCCCGGTAATCGATGATGAAAACGGTTACCGGGTTCGCGGGTTATCGTTAACGACCCGAATGTGGTGAGGAGAGGCCATGTCGGAGTGGCCAGGGAAGAATGTAAACAGTGAACGTTGCACCGGCACCACCAATAATGGATTAATTAGTATCAGCCATGGTCAATCCACTGCTGGATGAGAGCCTCCCCGACGCTGTTTCTCTCTTGGTCCGATGATGTATAACTCACCCTCGCAACCGGAACACGAGATTTAATTATTGCTCCGTGTTACAGATCTTCGCATCGAACTAGCGCCCATATCGAACCTTGATGGGGGTCCTTGTCAAGAACATCTGGCGGCTCTTCAGCATTTGTTTAATCAATTCTGATGAGACACTGCATGCAGAAACAGGTCCAGCGTTTGCTTGTGTAACGACTACAACATCACTCCCAAGAAAACCGTGTGTGCGATGGGATGTGTAAAAAACAACGTCTCTAAATTTGAGTTCATATGTGTGGAGAGACAGATATGTGAAGGTGTTAGCCCTGCTTCTTTATTTCATTTCCACAGCGGTCGTCCTCCACTCGGACGCGTCCCCTGCTTTGGCTGCCACTCCGACTTTAGTCTCGACGTCCACCATCTCCCCGTCGACTGTGGCCCGCCCTACCCCAAGCCCCGCGCACTTTTCTCAAGTCGATATCTCCGACGCGCGCTACGTTCCCCACAACCCATCTCCTTACAACTGCTTATTGGTGTTTAGTTTGTTGCCTTCTGCCGTCCTTCCCACCCGCACCTCCGCTCAGCACGGTTGGCTCATCACGGTGCGAAATAAGTTCCACGCACGTACGGCCCACGCGTTCCCCTTCTGACGCCTCTCAATGTCGAGTCATTCCAAGCGCATTGCACGCCAGCCGCGCGCTTCTTCTGCGCGTGCACTGGCACGCAATTTGCCCTCTTCCTCTTCTTCAGTCCGCGCAGCCCAGCCCCCCCCCCCATAGGCCGTCTGAATGCTGCGGCTCTTGTCCGCAGCTCCCGCCAAAGGGTGCGGACTGGGCAGCAGCGGCGTCGGCGGCGGCGTTCATCGCTGCAGTCAATGCCCCTTCGCCAATAAATGGGTCGTTGTTTGGTTAAGGCATGCTGCTGTGTCGCCCACACACTGACGGACACACAAGAGGCACTCTCGTACTGTGACTCACTTTGACTCTCTTTGCTGTTCTTAAACAAAACTGGGAAGAAACAAAAATGCAACTCTCCAAAGTTGACATTATTATTATTACGATCGCGTGACCACCTCCTCTTCCGTCACGGACATACCGACAGAGCCGATGCGTGTGGTGCAATCCAAAACAAAAACAGCATCCTCAAAGACCTCTGAACGTTTCTTTACAAATTTATTTAAAAATTTGCTTGAGGAAACACTTTGGTTCATTAAAATGCAGTTACCGGCGTTAACTTAAAAATGCGACGATTACTTCGTACGGACAACACACAAACTCGAATCCCGACACTTATTGTCGACAGCCACGCACTGAATTTAAAGCGCCTCGGAAAATAATACTGAACGGTTGTCTGGGGAGGACACACACACACAACAAGTGAATATATAATTTTAAGTACATATATTATAATTATCACAAGCATATATTTTGTGTTAAAGTTGAATGCGCAGCAATACTGGGGGCAACAGAGCGGTGAGCGCCTGAGGCTCCGCACAAAGACGGACATTGTTCTGCTTTTCGACAGGTTCAACTTGGGGCACACATGTCCAACAATCGCCAACTTTCCAAAGCAAGCGATCGTTGACGATAACTTCTTTGGTTTCGCGTGAAATTAAAAAAAAATTGCAATGACACGCGCGATGCGAGTCCGATGGCGCAATGCGCGTCAGGTTACGTGTGTGTGCGTGTGCGTGTGCGCGCGTGTGTTTAACATGCGGGGTGCGGTAGTGTAGCGGTTAGCGCGCTGCGCTACGAACCCGGCATCCCGAGTTCGATTCCCACTCACGGCCAACATCGGTGACGATTATCTGAACCGGTCCTGGGCATCCCCTAGGTCGACTCAGCCTCAAATAAGTACCTGGTGTGGTGTGTAAACATCCCCAATGGGAAGACAAAGGCGGCCAGGCGTGGTCCTGGCCACCCAACCCCTTCGAGTGCCGTGCCGGCCTTAGTTAGGTGCTCGCTAACGGCACTTGTCCCAACAGTCTGTTATGGCTACATGGGGGATCTTTATTTTTTTTGTTTAACATGCCATGATGTCGTTGTCATCGTGGTTGTGATCGTTGGTAGCTCAATGTAATCCACTTTCATCTTGTCGGCTGGGAATCCGTTAAACCCACCGAGGTCACGTTGCGCCGCATTCTTTGCAAGTCGAGCGGCCAACACGACGGCCGTTTACCCTGTAAGTCCACGTGCAAGTCACCTGAAGTAATCTCTCGCAAAAATAAATTAAGGTCCAAGCGATTTCCTGCTCGTATGAGCACCGCGGCGTTGGTGCCCATCCCCCTGCTTTACAGGCCCTGAGCCAGCGGTAGAAATTGCACACGCCTGTGGCGGGGGTGAGTCTTGACCGTCAGACAAACCCTTGTTGATCTTCCCCACAGAGTGGTGCTCATTTTACCGACCGCGGAGGGATGATGATGTGGGATGAGTTAACCCCGCAGCCAGAATTGGATCACGCAACCCCTACCGCTGAGTCGCGTGGCTGGCTGGTGGATAGTTATTTATGAAATTAAAAACACAGACACAACGGACGTCCACACAACATAAATAGGTGTTACAGCGTTCTCGCAATAATTTACCTCTCACCGCGCGTGTTCCGGACAAGACTGCCGGAACAGAGCAGCAGGTCCAAGATTCGTACCCCCCCTCCCACCCATAACTTTGTGATTCCATGAATTGTCATTGCTTGGGGTTCGCCATTTAATTCCCCATCAGCCTTCAGTGGCTAGTTGGGGGGCTGTGTGGGGGATGGGGCATAACAGGTGTGAACGCATTGCGAAGAACCGAAAATAAAACATGAGCGATTCGGCGGAGCGTGTGGCACGAACGTCGAGAGTTGATTTTGATTTTAGACCGACGAATCGACCGTACACGCCAAGTTGTTTTTTTCCGCTGCAAATCTTTGACGCTCGACGCCGGAAAACCGCGCGTACCTGGCGGCCCGGATTTGGGCCGATCTTTCTCAAGGTATTGTCATTTGGGCTTCTCAGGCTTTGAGCCGATCTTGACGCCTTAAGAAGTCTTCGACCGCAGCAGCAATCAGCAGCAGCTGTCTAACCCAGCGAGCGGGCGGGTGAGCGGGCCGGCGGGCAGGTGAGCGGGCCTGCAGGTGAGCGGGCGAGCGGCCGAGCGGGCGAGGTTGGCGGTGGGGGGCCCACGCTGGACGTCACTTGTGAGGGGGGTCCCAGCTCGAGCGCCCGCTGCCAGGCCTTGCCCGGCCGGGCCTCGTGGAGGCCCCGTCCTCCGCCAGGAGACTCTGTGTGGAGCGGTGAGGTCACGACGTGAGCATCAGCTGCTACACAGCGACAATCATCATCCTCATCATTACAGTGTCCTATGGGAAGACATCACAAGGAACTGTTAGAACGACTCAGTAAAGACTACTCGGGATAAATGTGAGAAAAGCAACACATTGTGTACAACAAGTCTGCGAAATGGTCCGAGATATCAGTCGGTGGAACGCATCTGGAAAACTCGGGGAAACGTTTCATTATTTTCATTCGTACATTCATCCACACAGGTTATGACCAGGTGAGAGGCATCTCCGCCTAACCATGCCTTCTCCATGGGGGACTTGAGTCACGTCAATGTTAAACGTGCTCTTAAAGGTCCGTAACGGCAGCGTTCTTGTGTGTACCCTGTCAATCCGATGGTGGATGAGTGCCTCCCCAAAACATGCAGGCCGTGGGGGTTATTTGACCATATTTCACCGCACTGGTTATTGTGAGTTTGAAGGTGAGCAACATAGACGTGGAAGTGCAACAACAGATGTTTTTCTATTCTGCCCTCTGTTGCCTATAAGGCCGCCGTGCAGCCTCTAACAACCAGCTGTGCATGGCGGTCATCCGATGCAAGCACTATCCAAGCTCCGCCCTGCTTAGCTTCGAAGATCTGCCATCTGGTGGCAACATGTGGAAGGAAACGTATTGCACGGGACTAACCGGGTCATTATCACAATGCCTTGGCAATGTTTACGTGTCTGGCTCTGACGCGGGTTACATACTATTATTGTTAAAGGGCTGATCGTAGCACCCACGTCTGGGCAGTTTGCGCTTTCAGTTCAGGAAAGGATACTGGATAAGTTTACCGTGTTGAATTAAAAGAGCAAAGTGTGCAGAGAGGCATGGAGAGGTGGCACATGCTTGGAATTACATCAAGCGACAGACAACACGTGTGGGTTAGAGAATGCACGCCGGTTAAGGACATCATCGTGATGGACTGGGACAAAAAAATCGGCCCTGGCATTTGTAAAGACACAGCGGCCCAAAATGCCGTGCGATCTCATTGGCCCATTTGCGCTGGGTCCAAAAACGCAAATGGGCCGGTAAGGAAGAATCTTTGGGGCTTTTGAATTAAAGCTTTCATGACTGCAGGGATTCATATTCTTGGTTCTTTCGGTAAAGTCACGAAGAATTTTATTGTTTTATATTTTTATTATTTTATTGTTTCCGTTCTACATGACTTTACCGAAAGAACCAAGAATATAATCTTTGGGGCTGCCAAATATTTCGGACTTCATGCCAACTGAGAGCCTAAATAATCAATTAAGCATACATGTTGGAGGTAATTAAATATTTTAATACAGAAAATATATATTTTTACTATGATCACATTTTCAATTTCCCCACACAGATCGGCTCACCGGCCCTCGGAATGGACCGTCCCAGCGGGCATTTGCCTCATGGACTATGGCCAGTCCAGGCCTGGACATCACATTGACTGGTGAGACCGGTGAAGGGGCTTGGACCGGACGCGTGAAGGTCAGATTGGACAGCGGCCGGTGGTCGAGACGAACGGCTGAGGGAGGAAACGCGCCCGAAAGGACGTAGAGTGATGGAACTCGGCCAGTGTGAGGTTGCTCAGTGGATCGTTACATCGCGGGACTGTTGGAGGGATGGCGACGGCTTAGGCGGGAGGTCTTCATCCAGCAGTCGAGTGATCATGGCTAATGGTGATGACGACGGTGATGATGACTAAGAGTCGGACTCGCAGTCGGAAACATCAAGAGGGCCACGCGTGCAGTCACTCACGGTGAGGTTGATCAGCTCCTGCGAGAAGGCGCCTATCTGCCTGACAGTCCCTTCCGACACATTCACCTATCGGGGGGTAGGACAGAGATGTGTTCAGCAAAGATGTGAGAAACATGGTAGGAGGTGCGTCCTAAAAAGGTTGAACAGATTAGAGATGGAGATGTATCGAGCAGAGACGTCGTCAGAAGGGAGTTAAGAGGAGAGATATCGGAGATGTATTCCAAAGTGACACACAGGAGCTTTATTTGGCATATATAAGAGTATGATATTTAAGAGAGAGCAGAAATATGCAATGCTTGTAGATGTCAGAAATAGAACATATACAGAAATATGTAAAAAAACAAGCATGTGGTCTGAGGCTGCATTCATTCACCCAGCTAGGCCCCACCCACCACTCACCCACACATCACGTCACTTCAGAGCATGTATCGTGATAAATACAATTAATCAGCTTAATGATTTCGCGTGTGAAACCAAATTAAATTAAACATGTTCAGCTTCATTTAATTTCACAACATTATAAATTTAAGGAGTTTTAACTGCGCGGTAGGCTGTTGTGTGGGGCCGTCCATAAATGACGTAACGCACCTAGGAGGGGGGGGGGGGGGGTCAGACATTTGTGACGATGTGTGACGAGGGGGGGGGGGGAGGTTGAGAAATGTGACGTCACATCAAAATGCGCAACTTTAAATAAATATAGACAACACGTTCTACTTAATTAAATAGACTTTTTAATAAATGTTCTCTCCGACAACATCAGTGTGCAGCGCCACAATAAATACGCACTACAATGACAATAGTTTAAAACGATTTGAAGCATGTTTCATTTTTGGCGGGGGTGGGGTGGCAGAGCTTTGTGACGTCATATTTGAGGGGGGGGGGGTCTGACTTTTTGTGACGCCGTGTGACGAGGGGGTGGGGGGTAAAAAATCGTCTAAAATCGCGTGACGTCATTTACGGACGGCCCCTGTGCCGTTGTGCGAGTGACTGCTCGCAGACCGCACTAGTTCCACGCCACTCGGCTGGGTGTAGCCCAGGGGTCGGCAACCTGCGGCTCCGTAGCCACGTGCGGCTCTTTAAAATGGCTGCTTCCTGGTGGCTCCCGGCACTATAATTGCAAAGTAACAAAACAAAAACCCCTGGCAATTATTTTAGATAAGCGGCGAACGTCTAAAAGCCCAACAACGACTTGCAATGCGGCATTACAAATCGTTGCGCGTGTGCTTTTATTTAAAAAGTAGTAAAAAAGGTGGTTTAACGTTATTCGTTAAGTACCGTTTTACATTCACGTGCATTGGGGCTCTCTGGGTTTAGCCGTTTGTGGGGCGGTGATGTCGTGGCGCGGTGATGTCATAGAGCAGTGATGTCATAGAGCGGCCACGCGTTCGCCGCTCGTCACAGAGGGGTGCGGTGCGGATTCCAGTGCCCGCCCTGGTTAACACCGCGGGTTCACTAACCACGAATGCGTGCCATCCGCTTCGTGGTGAATGCTCGGGATACCGCGAGTGATGGACTGGGCTAAAAATCGGCCCAGGCATTTGTTAACACACTGGCCCAAATTCGGGCTATGGGCATTTTGTTTTAAATGAAGTTGTGCGACAAACTGTATAGTATAGAATAGTTATCTGGTCTGACACTGGTGAGACTTGGCCCTACAGAAGGCTGTCTCTAGCGTAGACCAATCGGTTTCAAAGACAATGCGTATATTATCAGAGCATGTTTTTGTTTGCATGTACATGTAGTTCCTTGCAAATGGTTTATATCTGGTGTTTGAACATCTTGACACAAACTGCTTTATTGCCAGAAACGGTAAAACCTATTCTTGTGTTTTTTCATAAACTGTATAGTACGAGTAGCTGGATGTTGCGATGTGATGACGCATTCGTGTGATTTTGCCGTGCGATCTCATTGGCCCATTTGGGACTGGGTCCGAAAACACAAATGGGCCGGTGAGGAAGAATCTTTGGGGCTGCCGAATATATGAGGACTTAATTCCAACGGAGGGCATAAATAAGCAATGAAGTGTACACATTAGAGCTCATAAAATATTTTAAGAAATGTTTTTTACTTTACTTACTCTGATCACATTTTCAATTTGCCCACACAGACTGGCTCACCGGCTCTCGGAATGGACCGGCCCACCGGGCATTTGCCCCGTGGAATGCTGCTGCTGCCCTATGGTCAGTCCGGGGCTTGGATACCGCTGTTCGAAGCAAAGTGGGCCGTGGGTGTGCGCCCATGTCATGGTCCAGATTTGCCAATTTTGAATGTCACCGCAAAATACCGAATGTGGTAAAGCCACGCAGCAGCGTCGCCTTCCTCCCTCCTGTGAAACCACCGCGGACGAGACCCGCCTGGCCAACACAGCGCCTTCCTTCGCGATGATAGCCTTGTGCTATAACAATGGCGGGAATATCAATCAGTACTAAATCACTTTTTAGTTTGGGCAGCAGCCCTGCTGCCACACACACACCGACTAATCTAACTAACGACACTGGACGTACCCAACCTCGTGCCATCGTGTAAGCGAAAGCAGGGTCTGGTTGGTACTCGGAAGGGGAGACTGCATGGGAATGCTCGGTGTTGTGGGCTCGTGTTGCTCGGCAACGAGGACATGACAGCACAACAACGGATTGTCGAATCTGTCTGTGCAGGAGCTTTGCGCGTTATCCCGATTGTATGTAAGGCTATTATTATTGTTATCTGATGAAATAATTCCTCGAAGAAACGCATGCTGGGGAATCGGCACAGAATCCCATGCGTGCACGCGATTATTTTTCCCGTTTCTATTCATCTATTATATTAGTTACCCGGGGCAGGCAGGGCTGGGCGAGGCCGTCGCGGGAGTCCGGATCCGGGCTGCTGCTCCGCTCCGGGTCTCCGTCGGTCCGGCCCAGCTCCAGGGGACACAGCAGCTCCTCCGGTTCTTCCGGGATCCCCGTCGAGCCCCCCCCACCGCCCGAGCACCCCCCCTTGCGGCGCCGCCCGCCCCCCAGCGCCGCGAACACCAGCCGCTTGGGCTGCATGCAGCACAGACAGCGTGGCCACTCAATAACACTGAGATTAGAATGATAGCGCTCTTCAAACGGGGGGGGGGGGGGGGGGGGTCCCGGCTCCAAAACTGGTCCTAACCCTAGAGGCCGTCCATAAATGACGTCACGCGATTTGGGACAATTTTTGACCCCCCCCCCCCCCCCACCGTCACACAGCCTCACAAAAAGTCAGACACCCCTCAAATATGACGTCACAAGGCTCTACCCCCCCCCCCCCCCAAATAAAACATGCTTCAAATCGCTTTAAACTATTGTTATTGTAGTGCGTATTGAATGTGGCGCTCCACTCTGATGTTGTAGGAGAAAACAATGATTATAAAGTCTATTTAATTAAGTAGAACGTGTTGTCTATATTTATTTGAAGTTGCGCATTTTGATATGACGTCATATTTCTCAACCCCCCCCCCCCCCCCTCGTCGCACATCGTCACAAATGTCTAACCCCCCCCCCAAATAGGTGCGTGACGTCATTTATGGACGGCCCCCTACTTCTGCCACAACCAACCACGGAGGCTCAGCGGTAAGAGCGAGCGGATTGAAAATGGAAGGTTCCGAGTTTAATGCCTGGTTGGGGATAATAAAAAAAAGATTGTATCGTAAAAATATGTGTCGTGAAACCCACCACCACCCGACAAGCCAATTAGTAAGGGTTGTCATGTAAGCAAATAGCTTCAATTAGTTACTGCTTCAACATGCCGGTGTGTTGGAGAGTAAACCCACAACACTTGTAATGTTGTGGGTTTACATTTGTAATGTTGTGTGTTTCCTCTCCAACAATGTTGGATAATATTGGTCATGAAAGCCTACGTGTTAAAAGGACTCACCTGGTTGGGGGTTGACCTGGCCGGCCCATCATTATCCCTCCGGGGTCGATAAATTATCTACAGTTTTGTGGGGAAGTCAACAGTGGTTTTTGCCTCGGACATACCCTCACTACCGCCATATGAACGTGGAATTTCCAGCCGCTGGCTCAAGGCCGTAAATGGGAGATGAGCACCGTCTCCATTTCTCTGCCCCCAGCGGCAGCTGTCCCTGCGTGGCACAAGGCAACTCAGGCCTGCATTGAGATTGCCCATTCGTCTGCCAGTAGAGGGCTATGGGTAATTCCCAGTGAGGTACGTTGTGAGTAATTTTTAGAACGTGGTAAAAATGTGGACCATATTGTCAGCACGCAATGGCCTCCTAATTCCGAATGACGTCAGGGATCTTTAGCGTCGAGTGATAAAGCTGACGGCGCGCAGCGTTTACGGTTAATACGGCGGCAGTATTGACCGGGGCGGTCTTCCGGGTTGGAACCGCGAACCTCTGCAATGAGCGGCGAATGGGCAAACGCCGGCACCGCGTCACTGCCCCAAGGAGTGCGGTAGGGTTAGGTATGGTTAAATAGGGTTAGGTAGGGTTTGGGTTAGGTAGGGTTTGGGTTAGGTAGGGTTAAGTAGGGTTAGGTAGGGTTTGGGTTAGGTAGGGTTTGGGTTAGGTAGGGTTAAGTAGGGTTAGGTAGGGTTTGGGTTAGGTAGGGTTTGGGTTAGGTAGGGTTAAGTAGGGTTATGTAGGGTTAGGATTAGGTAGGGTTAGGGTTATGTAGGGTATGGGTCAGGTAGGGTTTGGGTCAGGTAGGGTTAAGTAGGGTTAGGTAGGGTTAGGGTTAGGTAGGGTTTGGGTTAGGTAGGGTTAAGTAAGGTTAGGTAGGGTTAGGGTTAGGTAGGGTTTGGGTTAGGTAGGGTTTGTGTTAGGTAGGGTTTGGGTTAGGTAGGGTTTGGGTTAGGTAGGGCTCGGTAGGGTTTGAGTCAGGTAGGGTTAAGTAGGGTTAGGTAGGGGTTGGGTTAGGTAGGGTTAGGTAGGGTTAGGGTTAGGTAGGGTTAGGCTTAGGTCGGGTTATGGTTAGGTAGGGGTAGGTAGGGTTTGGGTTAGGTAGGGTTAGGTAGGGTTACGAGGGTTATGGTTAGGTAGGGTTTGGGTTAGGTTGGTGTTATGGTTAGGTAGGGTTAGGTAGGGTTATGGTTAGGTAGGGTTAGGCTTAGGTTGGTGTTATGGTTAGGTAGGGTTAGGTAGGGTTAGGTAGGGTTTGGGTTAGGTAGGGTTAGGGTTAGGTAGGGTTTGGGTTAGGTAGGGTTAGGTAGGGTTTGGGTTAGGTAGGGTTAGGTAGGGTTTGGGTTAGGTAGGGTTAGGCTTAGGTTGGTGTTATGGTTAGGTAGGGTTAGGCTTAAGTTGGTGTTATGGTTAGGTAGGGTTAGGTAGGGTTGGGGTTAGGTAGGGTTAGGTAGGGTTAGGTAGGGTTTGGGTTAGGTAGGGTTAGGTAGGGTTAGGTAGGGTTTGGGTCAGGTACGGTGAGGGGGAAAAGGCGCACCTGCTCGCTCAAGCCCCTGCTAGAGCAAGGGGCTCTGCTAGAAGGAGCTACAGAGAGCCCCTCTAGAGCTCCAGTGGATCCCAACCTGGGGTCCACGGAACGCGAGCGAACCAATTGAGCGAACGAATGAACATCGGAACAAAGATTTCACAATTGGATGAACAATGTTATGAACAAATGAGAAAATTAGCAAATGAACAATCGAACGAATGAACAACCGATCCAACGATCAGAGGAACGATGGAATGAACAAACAAACGAGCAAATGAACGATGGAAGGAACGGACGGCCGATCAAACAAACAACGGAATGGCCGATCGAGCAGACGCCCTTACCTTGACCTTGGCGGTGGTTGAGAGCGGGGAGTAGTGGGCCGTGTCCATAACTTCGCGCTTGGCCCGCTGCGCCTCGCGGCCCACCAGCAGGCTGAAGCTGGTGCTCAGGTGTCGGCGCAGCAGCGTCTTGCCGGGCGGGATGCTCAGCAGGCTCGCCAGCGTCTCCACGCTGAAGCGCGGCTCGAAGATCTGCGACGGGGGTGGCGGCGGCGGTGGCCGTGGTGGTGGTGGTGGTGGCAGCGGTCACGACACCACCCCGGGATTATCGAGAGTTGACCGACATCGCGATAATCGTCATCGTGAAAAATCGCGTTACATCATTGTGGTGGCAAGGTGCTAATAACTCACTTACACTCAGTGCTCACTGACACTAGAAATACGTGAACTCAAGAAACATTCGCACACACGATCAGATTCTAGATCCGACTCTCCGAGGAGCAAAGAGTCCAACTCGACAGGGCTCACCAGTTCCTCGTAGCAACATCTGCCGCTCCTACAGTATGGCGGCTCCGAGCCTGGTACAGGATATGTGCAGATGTCGAACACTAACGTGTGTCGCGAAGCGTTATATCATCCCCTCGAGTAGATAATGGGTAGGCGGTAAGGTGGTGGTGGTGGTGGCAGCGCAGTTGTAAACCCTCATGCCTCACAGCAAGAAGGTGCCATGGGTTCGATTCCCGAATTGGGGTCCTCTCTGTGTGGAGTTTGTATAATTCTCTCTCTCCTCCTTCTCTGCAGAGGCTGAGTCGGTATGCTAGTGAGATTGAGAATTTGTGATGAGTGAAGTTTGTAGATTCCCTCTCTCCCCCTGTTCTGCATGGGTTTCCTCCAGTTTCTCTGGTTTCCTTCTCCCATTGCTTAAACAAACAAACAAAAAAACACACGCAATGTCACCTAAATTGAGCCAAAACATCCAACTGCTGAATAATCATCTGCAAATCCACTCAATTGGGATCACATGCAGCAGCAGCAGCATTATCGCTCACTACTGCGAAAAACTCGGCACGACCCTCCTGCAGAAAGACTTTCGAGACTCGGCGAGACTTTCCTGGGCATGCGATGGTAAAAAAATAAATACCAATATAATAATCCTCTTGGCGATGGCGCGACTCACCAGGAGTCCGCCGTGAACGCCGCTGCCACGCAGGTTGGTCGCGTACTCGGCGAGGTCGATCTGCTTCATCCACTCCATGAGCCGCTGGTTGGACCAGCGGTAGACTCCAGTTGTGGACGACTTCCCCTGAGTGAGATTAATAATCAGAATAATGACAATACCAAAGACGTCAACTCGTAACACCGCACCGCCACACAGTGTCCGCTCTTCGCTCTCCTAGAGAGAGGCGCGACGGGGAACCGCAGACGAGCGGGAAGGGCAGCGACGCGGTGGGGAGCCGGCGCTACCAACAATTGCCCAAGCTTTGCGGTCCTCTGTATATTAAGACGGTGTTCTTCAAGGCACACGGGCCACTGGCGGCTCCTGGTGGCCTTTATTAGTGCGGCCCCCTGACGTGCGGCCCCTGACAATGCACAACAAGTGACAACACCCCCATCATCATCGTGCTGCTGTCAGATCCCCAAATGGTTTCAAATGTGTGGCGGCCCTCAAACTGACGATGTGTCATCGGCAATAGTGCCCCCCGCCCCCCTCTGAAAATGAGTGAATAACGCTGTACACTAAGGTGTGTTATCATCAAATTGCCGAAGCGATGACATCATTGTGGGAAGAAACCGGGAGCGCCCCGTCAAAAAACCCACGCACGACATTCGCTTAATTTCCCGTTGAGTTTGTGTTGTTGTTTTTAACGGAGTTGTTGAACGGAAGGACTGTTGCCCGACACCAGAACAAGGCGGACACGTGCATCCCACGGCCCCCCTGAGCCTCACCTCCGGGGCGGAGCGGATGAGGCAGTCCGGCTGGAAGTGGTTGAGTCGGAGCACCTGCACCGCACGCTTGATGCTAAGGTGGTGCAGCAGGTTCGTGACCTTGAGCAGCAGCAGGTCCTCCTGGTTGGGCACGGAGACACGCGGCGGTCAACGTGGAGGTGGGGGGGGGCGGTCTCATGTGGTGGTGTCATGTGGTGGTGGTGTCATGTGGTGGTGGTGTCATGTGGTGGTGGTGTCATGTAGTGGTGGTGTATCATGGTGGTGGTGGTGTATCATGGTGGTGGCGTCATGTGGTGGCAGTGTCATGCGGTGGTGGCGTGTCGTGGTGTTGGCGATGTTATATCATGGTGGTATACAGTATGGTGGTGTTATATCGTGGGTGGTGTATCGTGGTTGTGGTGGTGTCTCGTGCGGAGGTGTATGGTGGTGGTGGTGGGGTAGAGTGTGGTTGCTCACCGTGGTGATGTAGTGCAGCATCCGCCCGTCCACGCGTGCCTCATGGAACTGCTCCTTGTACTGGGGCAGCCCAACGTCGTCCAGCCAGCCTGGGGCACAGCAGCAGCAGCAACAGCCGCCACACACATGGGTGCAGGGGGAGCGGCGGCACAGTGGTTAGCGCGCTGCACGAGGAACCGGGAGGCTTCGGTTCTATCTCCAGCCACGGCTAACATCAGTGGCACTCGGGTGTGGTGCAGGGCTTACACATCACCCAGGTGTGGTGCAGGGCTTACGCCTCACCCAGGTGTGATGCAGGGCTTACACATCACCCAGTTGTGGTGCAGGGCTTACACATCACCCAGGTGTGATGCAGGGCTTACACGTCACCCAGGTGTGGTGCAGGGCTTACACATCACCCAGGTGTGATGCAGGGCTTACGCGTCACCCGGGTGTGGTGCAGGGCATCGGTCCCCACTGCCTCTCCGGAGCCGAGCGCTTGCAGCGCCAGCGTGAGCTTCTTCCTGTGCAGGGGGTTCTTGAGCCCCAGCTCCTGCAGACATGCACACACACATAGTGTGCTGGGCCAAGCGCAGCTTGCGATTGCTGTTAGGGCACACAAGGGGGTGATGGTGGTGGTGGTCAGCACCACGTCAGGCCACCTGTCTCCCATGTCCGATGATTTGATGCTTAACAAATGATGGGTGGTACTTTGACGCCGATTACGATGACACTGCCGGGTGTGAACATGCCATTCACACGCGTGTGCACGCACAAACGCGCGTGCACGCGGCCTACCCGCTCCAGGTCTTCCGGCGTGGCCCGCAGCAGCGTGTCCCCTCGCACCACCCACTGCCGCGCCAGGCCCACGCATGTGCCCAGGCCCAGCTCGCTCAGCCAGCCGCACACCTGCTCCACACCCCAGCTGGCGAACGGGGTCTCCAGCTCCCTGGAGGTCGGGAAGCAGGCAGGGAGGGGCGGGGTACGTGGTAGGAGATGCTTGGCGGACGAAGGTACGAGCCTCTCCACAGCTCGTCCGTCACGTTGTCCATTTCCAAACGGAAATGGACGTGTTGGGGAATGGCAGAGGCAGCGTTTGGCATATGGAAATTGGTGGTGGTGAAGCGGTAAAGAAACCGTATAAAGAAAGAGGTGGGCCCCCTCTTAACAATGAGGGCCCCCCCACCCCCAAGCTTAGTTGGGAAGCATTTAAGAAATGATCGGTGTAAATCAGCTCCAGTCGACGAATCCGTCGCTTCGCTACGCGCCGCCAGTCGCTCCCCCGTGGCCGGACGTCTGTGAAAAAGAGCTCTTATAGCTCATCGGATTTTCCCGCTATGAATAAATCTGATTCCGATTGTGAGCGCCGCTGCTGGCGGCAGGCGTCACCTGCTGCCCGCCCTGGGCAGGTTCCGGGGCCAGCCGAGCGAGGGGCCTACGGTGGCGCGCAGCCCCCCCCGCCGGAACTCCTTCTCTGGGCCCCCCACTTCCCCCGTGAGGCCCGCGGACTGCGTGCGTCGTAGCCTGGGGGTGGCGGAGGGGGTAGGGAGAGGTGGAGACAGGTGGAGAGAGAGAGACAGAGCGAGAAGTCGGGGAGAGTCAAGGAGAGTGATCGTGAGTGAGGCAAGCCAAACAGGTAAACACGAGCCCGTCCTGAGCTGACGGCGCCTCGCTGGGCCGCGTCCTCCACCGCATGATGGCTTGGCACGTCGGGCGCAGTGCCACGCGCTGTCCGCCACGTAACGAACGCAATGGCGATATTGGTGACAATGATGATGATGGTTGTCATGGCGATAACAATGACGATGATAACGACAATGATAATTGTAACGGTCATAACGACGGGAATGCTGATGACAACAACGATTAACTTTGACTCAAAACTTTCGTGACTGCAGGAATTCGTATTCTTGGTTGTTTCGGTAAAGTCACGTAGATGGAAAATAAAATAAAATGAAAATTAAAAAAGAAATTAAAATAAAAACAGCAAAAAACCACGACGTTTCGATCTACGTCACTTTACCGAAAGAACCAAGAATATGAACAACGATGATGATCGCTGTAATAACAATGACGACGATGATGACGGTAATGAAGGTGCTGGCACAGACGACGACGCCGCCGCCGCCACCGCCGCCACTGCTGCTCACCTCCCAAAGAGGCGACGGAGGCCCTTGCCCTTCTTGCGAGCGTCGCGTGCGGAGGGCGGCGGCGACGCGGGTGCCACCCCGACCCCTGCGGAGGGTGGCGACCCCTGACCCCGCTCGGAGCCGCTGCGTGACCCCGGGGAGTAACCGTTGGGCTCGCCTGCAGCAAGGTCAGGGTTCCCCGCGTGGAGGAAAAAAAAAAGTTACATTCCCGCGCGTTCATTGTTAACCATTATTAAATATCATTAATATTACCGTCGCTTAGCCAGGTGAGACTCACCGAGTCTCAAGGCTTTATTCTCAGGAGGGTCCTGCCACGTTTTTGCAGCAGGGAACCGCTGCTGTGTGGAATCCCAATTGAGTAATTTGATGGTGATATTTCAGTTTTGGGATGTTTCCTGGCCAATACTCCCTGAACTGTACGTTTTTATTTAGCTATGGTATGAAACTGGAGAACCCAGCGGAAACCCATGCAGAACAGGAAGAGTGAGAGAATCTATACAAAGCTTAACACGTAGGCTTTCGCGACCAATTATTATGGAGAATCGATACAAACTCCACACCTTCTTGCTGTGAGGCACGAGTGGTTACCACCACCACCACCACCCTGCTGTCTACCCAGGATCCACGTACGCGTGGATTACGCAAGGCTTTACAAACACGCGTTAGTCTTCGACATATCCACATATCCTGTACCAGGCGCTGACCCACCATCCTGCGGCAATGGCGAATGTTGTTAAGGGGAGCTGGCGGGCCCAGGCAAGAGTTGAGCTCTTTGCTCCTCGGAGAGTCGGATCTAGAATCTGCTCGTGTGTGCGAATGTTTCTTGCGTTCACGTGTTCTAGAGTGGCGAGGTTATAGTTTTAGTGAGTAACGATGTACGTGACTCATTATTTCCTCTGGTTCGTGTGTGTGTGATCGAGTTGTGGCAATAAATGTTTGATCAATGTGTCCGTGTTTGTCTATGTTTTTGCTCTATGTATCTAGCACTGGAATGTCGCACTAGACATCACACAGAAGCACACAAAGCCACGCACACCGACTCTGGCTTGTAAAGCGCTGGGGGTTAATGATAAAGAGACATCCCATGGGGTAAAGGAAGTGGCGTATTGTGGGTTGCCATGGGCCCTGGTGCAAGGAAATCAGAATCTTTATTTAGACTGCATGGAGGAACCCGATGAGCTGTGAAGCTCTTTGTCACAGATGTCCAATAGGGGTGGGTCGGCAAAGTTACAGCAACAAATGATACAAAACACAATATACGTGCAAAAATAGAGAAAAGGTCAGCAAGCCACGGCAACATAAATAAACACAAAAATAAATAAAGTATACGAGTACAAATTGCCTCAGCACATAAATTGCTCCAACCCCCGTCCCTCAGGCTCGTGGGCCTCCGTGCGGTTGCACCGCCTGCACACTCGTTAGCGATGCCACTGAGGAGAAGGAGAAGATTGTTAGGCAGGCGATCGTTACCTAGGGTAGGCGCGCTCGCACTCCGGTGACGATCTTTGACCACACGGAGCATCCGGGGGGGTCCAGAGGCAGTGCAGGAAAAAGGGGTCGGGATCAAGAGTCGGATTTAAGAGTTGAGGAGTGGGGTTGAGGAGTAGGGTTTAGAATTGAGGAGTTCAGAATAGGGATCAGGAGTAGGGATCAGGAGTAAGGTTTAGTGGTGGGGTTGAGGAGTAGGATTCAGGAGTGGGGTTGAGGAGTGGGGTTGAGGAGTGGGGTTGAGGAGTGGGATTGAGGAGTGGGGTTGAGGAGTGGGGTTGAGGAGTGGGGTTGAGGAGTGGGGTTGAGGAGTGGGGTTGAGGAGTAGGATTGAGGAGTGGGGTTGAGGAGTGGGGTTGAGGAGTGGGGTTGAGGAGTGGGGTTGAGGAGTGGGGTTGAGGAGTGGGGTTGAGGAGTGGGGTTGAGGAGTGGGATTGAGGAGTGGGGTTGAGGAGTGGGATTGAGGAGTGGGATTGAGGAGTGGGGTTGAGGAGTGGGGTTGAGGAGTGGGGTTGAGGAGTGGGGTTGAGGAGTGGGGTTGAGGAGTAGGGTTTAGAATTGAGGATTTCAGAGTAGGGATCAGGAGTAGGGATCAGGAGTGGGGTTGAGGAGTGGGATTCAGGAGTGGGGTTTAGGGGTGGGGTTGAGGAGTGGGGTTGAGGAGTAGGGTATAGGAGTGGGGTTTAGGAGAGGTCGGATCACCAGGGGCAGAGCAACAGGAGGGTAGAAAACGGGCGTGAATAGCCGTGCGACATGTCGGTTCACAACCAATTAAGAGGTAACGAGCGAATAATTAACGCAAAGCGGCAGAGGTCATGGACGGCAGAGGTCATGGACGGCAGAGGTCACGGACGGCAAAGGTCACAGACAGCAGAAGTCATGGACGCATTGCAAGCCTCTGGCAAGGAGGAGCGATTTCAAGAGGCAAACTTGAGGCAAAAAATTAACCATTCCTGTAGGACGAGAAAATATTACCTCTTGATATGGCTATATATATTTCACAAATGTAGAACCATTATCACTCCACCGATAGTTGAAGGCCACCCCATGCCATGTTTGCTCATGGATTTTTTTTTCTTTCCCATACTTCACAACCCTGGTCAGTGTGGGTTGTAAAAGTTAGAGAGGGGGGACGGGTGTGACCAATTCAGACACCACTCTCCACCACGGCCACTCCAAGGCTCACGGAGGCCCAGGGCAGCACGCCGCCTGGCGGCCCCCCTCATTCATTGGTGACCTAATTCCCCGTCTTGAGGCCCTCTCATCTCAAGTTGCCTCTTTTGCCTCCCCGCTCTGGGCGGCCTGCTCGCCACCGATGTTCGCCATGGCCGGGAATCCAACAACCCCGTGTGGCCGGGGTTCATAGCGCGGGGGGGCGTTAATGCACGCTGGCCTCAACACGATGGGCGGAGTGGGAAACGCGCGGAAGCTCTCTCCGGGAGCTTCACGTTGCGCGAGAGAACGCCGAGCCGAAGAGGTGCAACAAGAAACGGACGGCGAGACGCCGTCGGTATCGCGGAGACGCTGACCGCGCCTGGGGTTACGTGTCTCACGTCGGCTTGAATCTTTTAGTTCCCGGGAAAAAAAAGACTTCAAAGATATGATCACGAGTGTCGTTGTGGCCGCGGTGACGTCGCCCCCATAGGTTTTATCGTGCGGCGTCGCAGATGCCCCCCGTATGGCCTCTAACAGACGGTGTAGCGAACGCCTGCACGGCACACGAGGGTAGTGCGTGGCCAACACCACGCCCGACCGCCTTTGTCTCTCCAGTGACAACTAAACCATTTACTCAAATTAGAGGAGGCCCAAAACCGGTTCAGATGTTTGCCACTACTCCTGGTCATGAGCAGGAATCGAACTCGTCTCATGGGTTTTGTATCGCAGTGCGCAGAACCACTACGCTACAAGCATGTGCACACACGCGCATGCACAAAAGATCCCCCAGTGTAGCCTTAACAGACTGTTAGCGAGCACCTATGAAGGCTGGAATGGCACACGAGGGAGTTGGTGGCTACCACCACGCCCGGCCGCTTTTGTCTCCATAGTGGCAATGTTTTGACATATCGCACTTGCTCAATTGAGGCTGAGTCGACCTAGGGGGGCCTAGGACTGGTTCAAATAATCGTTGCTGGTGTTGACCGTGGACAGGAATCAAACTCAGCTTGCCAGGTTCATAGCGCAGCGCACTAACAGCTATCCTACCGCTCTCCACGCACACACACGCACACACACGCACGCACCGAGGCTGCTGTCGGACCCGTGGTAGGAGTAGGTTCCGTCGTGCTGAGCGGTGGTGCGGAGCTTCCGTGGCGACTGGCCCAGTGGGCCCCATGAGGGGGTCCCGCTGACTCGCTGCGCCGGCAACGTCTGGTACTTGGAACCGTTGGCGCCGGCCTTCGCCTGCCCCCAGGTGCCCGAAAAGATGGTGAAACAGCGGAATCATCGTTAATTGGGAGCCAGTGACGATGGAAGCCAAGCAGGATTTTGAGCCCAGAGAGTGCTCGGATGGGCAACTCCCTGGGAATACCAAGTGTTGTAGGCTTGGTATGCGAGGAGGCCAGAATATGGCAGTATAGCAAATGGATTCTCCAATCCATCTGTGTGGGTATTTGAGTGTTTGCCCTTACGTGGTTGGTTTTTATCCAGGCTCTCCGGTTTCCTCCCATGTGAAGCCAATCTCGCATTTCAGTGAATGGGGAACCATGCCTGCCCCTACCGGACATCTGTGAAAAAGAGCTTTATAGCTCATTGGATTCCTCCAATGTCAATAAATATTCTGATTCTGATCTCAATTAATGGAGGCTTGCCCACTTAAATCACCGCCATCATCCTTGAATCTTCAGTTGTGACCTGGTCGAACAAGAGACTCAGCGTAGCATAGAGAACCGCGTCTTATCTGTCAATGGGCGGGGCGACCCCTTCGCATGGGCACCAGTAAACGTGGAACGTTGGGGCAACGTTGGGCCAACGTTGGGGGAGCGTTGGGCCAACGGTTCCAAACACAGACGTCGTGATGTCTGCCCGACGTTGCCACGTCTACTGGGGGTGCGAGACGTGGTACCTTGTCGGCAGGATGCGGCACCATTGGCTCCCAAACAACACACTGCACGCGTGGCACACACGGCGGGGCGTTAACACAAAGCAGGCGCGTGGCACGGACGCAGCGCAGCGATTGCACCCAAAGCGTTAAGCGAATCAAATCACATATGAACACACACAACCGTTAGCCCAAGCATCCATTAACTGAAAACAAACCAACCAAAAAAAAATCAACAGAGCAAAATAAAAGCGTGCGGAATGGGACATGTTACGATGGCGACAAAGAGTGCCCACCTTATCGCCGGACTCGGTCCGCAGATTCTCCAGGCTGTTGGACCTGTGCCGGCAGGGAGACCTGCGGGAGGGAGAAGGCAGACTGCGCGTCGGTGGGGCCACATCGATAACCTCAGTGGCATCGTCATGATGTCCGATGTTTCACTCCACCTGTTGGAAGCTCCTCCAGGAAATTCAGCTCCTTCATTCTCCTGAATTGCTGAAAAAAGCTCCCAGCACGTGGCGCGAACCGTCGGACATCGTGTCCAAGGATACGCGGTGGGTACGATGGCAAAGCGCATTGGAGCGATGCCGCACGGTGGCCCGAGAGCAACGGGAAGCCGCCGCTGGGTACCTGTTGTCGTAGGGCGAGGGGTCGCGTATGGCTCGGGAGGTCGGATGAGAAGGCTCTGACACCTCGGCCGCCTCTGACGCCGGGGGGAAGGGCCTGCCTCGGTCGCGGGGGGCAAGGCGACCCCCCAATTCTGTTGCCTCTCTATAGGCCTCCAAAGCCTCGTGCAGCTCTGATATCTTGCGGTCCTAGGGAGGGAAACGTACGCCTCACCGACTGCACCGTAAACCCGACAGCTGCTACAAGGGTAACTATTCACTTGCCGATTAAAAACAAAATGGATGTCGTTCTCATCGTAAAATGGCCACCAGTGACCGTGGCATAATATCGATTTGAAAAATCATCGAATCGTCTTTTTCCGAATCATCGAGCGCGGAAGCCGGTTAGCATGACAGTCGCGTCGCCGCCCAGCGAGGCCTAGCGATTCACCTTCTCCTCGATGGACTGCAGCAGTGACTCAACGGCACTCTTCATCTTCTGAATTTCCTCGTCTGTCAAGAGACACGAGGAAGGCACCACCACAACCACCACCTCGTGTCACGCTCCCTGCCGAGGGGATGTACTACGTCAGCAGGTTTCTCAGCTAGGACCCTGGTGGCTCCTGGAAGATTTAGAGAGTTGAGGCTGGACACTAGGGTCATTAAAGGGCCGTCACCATGGCGTAAAACGTGGGCAAAGTTTGATCGTGAATTTGCCAAACTCACCGAATTGGGTGAAACCACTTTGCAACGTTCCCCTCCCCCCACCCGTCCCACTGTGAAATGGCCGCAGACTTTGCCCGTCCGTGCATTGTCGTGATAGCGCCTCAGGATTAGCACGGTGGGCTACGTACAATACGAAAGAATTTCAACGTACATACATAGAGAGCCTTGCGCTATAAGAATGGCACTGAAACCAAATGTACTCAAGACGATGATGACGATGGTACTTCGTATGCTCATAAGCAGATGATGACTCCTTCACACTGTATATATTTATCTGTCTCTCCACATAAAAATAAAAAAGTATCCTTCACACTTTACACAACCAATCTGCACCACGGCCTTCTGGCAGTGAAGTCATGACAGAAGTGTTGATTTGGTCCCAGAAGGCCGTGAGGCAATGAGTTGTGTCAACTGTAAAGGATACTTTTTATTTTTATGCGAAAGGACAGATATATATACATGGAGACATCGTCTGCTTATCTGTGTTGTTATTCATATTCTCCACAACGACAGTAACCGTTGTTATTTTCTGTTATGAATCACACGGAGCTTGCTTAGCGCTTCCTGTGACTCTTTTTCCACTCTTTAATTAGCTCGCGGGCGTTTGACATCTTGGAGGCCAAACGCCTGCTTACCTGGGACGTGCGACTTTGAAATACGGTACAACGCTTTCACGCGTGACCTCGGTGCAAGTTTTGTTGAGTGCGGAGGTGGGCCCAGGAGCCCAGGCCACGTGTCTAACTCGTCAAAACAAAATAATGTATCCTTACAATGTATCCTGTGTGTGACCAATGACGGTGAGTGGGGTGGTATGCGCTGGAAATGGATGGTAAATGTTGTGGGCTTACTCTCCAACACACCACGGGCTGTGCTGAAGCAGCAACTAATTGGCACTTTTTGCTTACGTGAAAAAAAAGCCTTTAAAGACACATTTATATGTACACGATATAACTAAAGATAAACCTTCATTAAGCACTGGAAATGAGTGGCGTTAGCAAGTAATTCCCTCGGATTCACCGCACAAATTAACCGGTGCAACCTGTAGGCGGTTCCTGGCCTAAACGTGAGCGTGCCGCGCTACGGAGCCGGCGAGCCGAGTTCGGTTCCCGCTCAATGGTCAACACAGGCAAAAATTATCTGAAACCAGTCCTGGGCTTCCCCTACGTCAAATGAGCACCTGGTGCGGTGTGTAAACATCGCCACTCGGGACACAAAGGCGACCGGGCGTGGTGCTGGTCACCCACCCCTTCCGTGTGTCGTGCCAGCCTTCATAGGTGCTTGTTAGCAGCACTTGCTCCAGGGCAAGGCTCGCGTTAGATGTCGGGTGCGGTGGCATTGGTCTCCATGACCTATTGACCTCCTCGTCAGTGGAAGGGTCACGAGGCGGTTGCGTGGTGAGGCGTCTGGTTGTTGCGTGTGGTTGTTGCATCTGGTTGTTGCCTTCCTAGCGAGCGGGCGAGGAACTCTACTCTTGCGGATAATTAAATAACTAAATAAAAGCACCCCATGATTTTGCATTCATAAAGCACACAGCGGTGCCGTGTGCTTTATGCTAAGGTCCTGATTTAACCGAGATAATATAATGTTCCCACAGCCTGCATTTTTTTATTTTGGGCACGAGACACTTCGTGCCTCCGATTCCACCCATCGCGTTATCGTCCCGCTCGCTCGTTCAGGCACTCATTAGCGCCGATCGTCTCTTCATAAATTGCCAAACATTTCCAAATACCATGGCCAATTTTGTTGTTGTTGAATTAAGGCGTGATTTAATTATTAAATACCACGTGCCTAAGTAGCACTTTTCTTCTTGACAAAAGATTACATGTTATTATTGTTCTTGATGTTTTCCTGAATGTAACACATTTGATGCGACCTGTGTAAAGGCCATGGCTGGAGAACATGTTCGCGGAGTTCGGGCATTCGGCGACTTTGTTTATTCGGCTGCGTTGGGTGGCAGAGGGGTGCACGATACGCAACATTGGCGGTCTGCGCATGCGCGGCGACCTGGCCCAAATAAAATCAATCGCTGCCAAAACTACCACTGGACATCTATGAACAAGAGCTTTGTAGCCGATCGGATTCCTCCAGTATAAATTAATATTATGGTTCTGAATAGCGAGTCAAAATGACAACTTGCATGTATTTCACCTGGCCCAGGTATGTATTGGCAGGGTGTTCATTCACCTGAGAGGTGTACTTCCCGTTTGGATGGTCTACAGTCTCCACCCACGTCATCCATTACAGGGCCCAGTGAGGCCCCTTCTCGGCAATTTAACTCGCATCATCATCCAACAGTGGATTGAGCAAAGGGCTCCCTCCATCATTTCAAATCACTCCAAGCGGTTACTCCTTGCGTTCCAGAAATAGTCGTTGTTGTTTAATTCGTTTCATTTGTTAAAGATTGTTAATCGTTCTTTAATCACCACTGTTGCCTTCAACACCGACGCGTTCCTTACCACTGTCGCCTGTCACTCCGCACGTGTCACTTTGATTGATGATGATGATGATGTTGTTGTCATTTCTGTGCCGACAATGCACACCCCAGATCTCTACCCTTTGCAAAGCTAGCTGGATAACTGGCTACACACCCGGACTTTCCACGTAACAAGGGAACGACGGAGCGAGCGAGTGACTCAGCGAGCGAGCGGTGTTGCTCGCGCGTTCGCACCCTTGCACGCGGCAGCAACGACGGCGTCGGGCGGCCGCGACGCAAGCTCCAGCCGCAGCATCTCGATCTCCCGCTCCTTCGTGGCCACACGCTCCCGCAGCTCCGCCAGCTCTGCCTGTGAGGAGGGAGGCGTCGCCGTCGGTGCGGTGTTTGTTCAGTTGTTGAGCCAGCTGGCCAGGATTGGCCAAAACTTTTCCCAATTATCACCCAGCCTCTATGAGTCTCTATGTATCTCTATGAGTCTCTACGAGTCTCAATGTTATCCTATAAGTATCTTTGAGTCTCTATGAGTATCCATGTATTCCTATTAGTCTCTCTGTATCCCTATTAGTCTCTATGAGTCTCTATGACCCGACCGACAGCGGCAACAACACAGCTGATGCGACAATGGCGACGGCAACGACCAGGTTTTTTTATTTGAAAAATCGGAGGAAAAATACACGGCGGCTAACGATGAGCGTCGTCGTCGTCGCAGCGATGAGCTGGTAGCGGGGGGGGCGGGAGGATGGGGGGTGGGGGGCACGGGCGCCCACGCTGAAAGCTTTGCGCCGTTCGGAAATAGCGCTGCCAGCGATGGCAGCGTGATGGCAGCCCTAACGAGCTGGGATAAGGAGAGCGTTAAGCGCTGAGACAAAGACAAAAGTGATTTTGTGCTGCAGTTTTTTTTTGCTAATTAAAAATTTTAAGTGCAGCACGTTCCCCTATTTTGGCTCCCAATTAAAATCCATTGATGCTGTTATTGGCGACGTGCTGCTGGCGAGATGAAGACGTTTACATTGGGGACTCTCGAAACGGTCTGCGGAATGGGATGTCACAGAACTACTTGTCAGGCTTCTTTCTGTCACCTTGCATTAGCGGTTAGGGACACACCTTCTTTATGCTTTCCACAAAAAAAGCGTTCGTCATATTTCAACCATTTCAACATTTTGCCAAAATTAAGTGGCGGGACAAATTTAACACGATGATTTTATATATATATTTTTTGGTGTGCGCAGTCATTCGTGGCCGGGCTGAGATAATCACTGCACTAGATACACCGGTTAAATCACAGCTCGGTCTGTGCGAGTCTGTGGGTTTCTGCGCGAGCCTTTGGGGTCACTACGTGAGTCTATAGGTCTCTACACGATTCTGTGTATCTCCATTATGATCTCAAGTCACTGGTGACTGGCCTAAGAGAATCAACACTTGAGAATTCGGTTTAATCACAGATTCCAATCCAGGCTCTTGGTGGTGGTTGGCTCAGAGATCTAACGTGACCATTATGAGCCACCCTGTGCCACGCCGAGCCACCTCGATTATTGATAAACGTGGTGAGTGGTTGCGTGGGCGACGTCGGGGTGAGCGAGCTGAACAGGTGAGAGTGGAACAAGGGTGAGTGAGGCGAGTGGGTGAGTGGAACGTATTGAGGAGAGCCAGGGGGGCGGGGTGGGTGGGTGGTTCGTGGGGGTCGCGTTGTGTGTGGGGGGGGGGTTAGGACTCTCACCGCGGTGCTGCTGAGTTTCGTTTCACACCTCGTCTTCTCCTCCTCCAGCTCCGACACGCGGCTCCGCAGAGAGCCCAGCTCGCCCAGCAACACCTGGGCCACAGGGTCACCCGTCAACTCGCACGCTCCCAGCTCGCTCACTCGCTCGAGCGAGCGCTCACCTCGCCCGTTCGCTTTCACTCACACGCTCATTGTGCCACGTGCTCACGCAGGCACCGCTCGTTCACTTACGCGCTCGCTCACCGATTCACTCGCACACATTTGCTCGCTCGAACTCAGTCGCTCACCTACTCACTCAATCACTCATTGCACCACTCACTCGCATGCACCACTCGCTCACTCACACTCTTACTCACGATAGCCCAAGATAAGCCGACATTCATCACCATCAGCTCGCTCACTCACTCAATAATGAACTAATTCACTCACTCTCTCACTCAATCACTGACTAACTCAATCAACCACTTACTTACCCACTCGCTCAACCACTCACTCACTCACTCCAAACCCACCCACCCACTGACTCTCTCACTCACTCGCACGTCTTCACAGGTAACATTTGGCTGAATCTGTTTGGCTATCAAATGATAACAGCTAAATGCAGACTCTCACCAGCATTAACTGGCAGATATAAGTTTGACACACACACATACACACATTATCACACAGGCAGATGTCTCCATCTCTGAATGATCCACCAACCACACCTATAAGCTGCCAGGATTACAGGTAATAATAGTAATACTATTCCTCCACCACGACCGACAAATTAATAATCCCATTAACTTTGCCTGCGTGTATGTCGGCATTCATATTTAACAGGCATACATATATATGTATTTTTAACTGAATTGGGAATAAGAAAACCAAAGGCATTAATGGGGAGCGGAGAAGAGAGGCGTTGTCATTAGAACTACAGAGGCCACGCTCGGCAATCGGTGAAGCTCAAAAACACGTGGGGTCGTGACACAGGGGGGATGTCACAGCCAGGGGATGTCGCACACACGTGCCCAGAACTGCGTTTGTTAGTCACTTCAACTTGAAGCAAAACACACACTGTATGCATGTATGTTGAACTTATTTCACATCGTACGTAGCCAGCCGTGCTAATTTGAGGTGCGGGGTAAGCACAACAACCTAACCACAAAAATCAGTTCGAGAGAAATGAGTTTTCAATCTAGATTTTAAAGTGCATAGCTCCCATTGGCTTCTAATATCGGACGCAGAAGCACGATGCGGCGACCACCAGCATCGTCTTTGTTCGATGGTCGCCGCTGCTGCTACTGCTGCTGCTACGAGGACGCGCGGAGTTCGCGTGATGATGGATTATGCACGAGCGGGGATTCTGTTGGACGGAGCCAACGGTGCGGCACTGCACTGCCCGTCGGGATCGCACGCGGCACACCGCCCCACCAACGAACTTGCGGAGAAATCACAAACACAAAACAATTAACACCTTTGCGTCAAGAGAGTAGCTAATTACCGAGGCTTCATCATGGATATGGTCGGTGAACGGGGGGGGGGTGGGGGCTGGGGAGCAGTGAGGGTGGCGGCGCCCAGATTCCATCTCCGCGACACTTAAAATAGAATCTTCATCCGTGCTTAATTTCCCGCAATAATGATGACGCTAAGCGTTGGGAACGAGCAGACAGCCACGAGATGAGATGCAAAATCATGAACATCGCACGCGCGTCTTAATCGCTTGAAACTCGCGAAAATCACATTATCTCTGGGAACCGTCACGCAAATGGGTTTTTTTCCCACCCCGTTTCAGTGTAACAGCTAATCAGCTGAATCTGCTTCTTATTTTCACAAATAGGAGGCTGGGGAGAAGGAGAGGTGGGGATGCGGAGAAGAGGCGGTAAAGATGTTGGTGGGGGAGGTGGTCAGGGATGGAAACTGGAGATGGGGGGCTGGGGGGTAGTGGGGGTGGTCGTTCCACGATTGGGGTGGCTTGGCGCCGTTGGCGTTCCGCCGGTAAACGCGGCGACTCAAGTGGCCCGGGGGATCACGCGTTGGAATGGGGGTCACGCAGCCGGCGATGATGAATTATTATTTTCCCGTTTTGAAGAAGTGCTTCATTAAGCGGTGAGCGAGCGTCGGTGAGCGCCTCCCCATCTCGCCCCCCAGCCCCAACTCCTCCTCCTCCACCCACCCACCCCCAACCAGCCGCCACCGACTCATAACAATAACGATCATAATAACAATTCCACTGTTTCCGAGCGTCATTCCCGCAAACTGCATGTCACTCCGCTGTAAGGGTTCCTAGCGCCACGCAGTGCTCGGGGGAAATCGGAGGCAGGCGAGCGCTGGGGAGGCAGCCAGACCCGGCGCTGCCAACAATTGTCCCAGCTCTGCGACCCCGTACCGGGATGCTGGGCCAACTTCAAAAAATACGAACCCAGCCACCGCACAAGCAAGCCGTTGCATCACGAGCTCTGGGGTTCAGGGGGCGGGAGCGGCTTCAATTGGTACCGGCAGCAGCACACAGGCGCGGCGGCACACGAGGAGAGCAGCATCTCGGGCAGCTGCCGCACCTCCGATAAGCGCGGCTGGCTACGTGCGTCGCGAAAGGAGTTCGGCACACAGCACCTACATGGATACCCAAGACGCCGGAGTGGCACCCGCGCCGCCACGGCGTCTCGCGTGCCGCTGATTTAGCGTCCTGCGACGCGGCGGCATCTCGCTACGCGAACCAAACCGCTGGGCAATCGCATTCACGCACAAGCAGTTGCACGCTCGCTCCAAAACGGGAGCTGGGAATCGAAGTCAGATCTCTGGGTTGGGTTCGTAGGGCCGAGCGTTAACCGCAGCACCGCTGCCTCCCCCCCCCAACTCCTCCACACCACCCCCCCCCCCCACCAACATCTTAAACCACCGCAGGGATTTGAAGGCGGATTTAATAGCAGACCGGCTGCTCCCACGCCGCTCTCCGCCCCCCCCCTCCCCTCCCCCCATGGCTGCCAGCAACAGGTACGGCGCTTCAATTCAATTATCAATTAACGCTTGTTATGGACTCAATTTGAGGCTAATAGCAGCTGCTCATTTCAACAGCTGGGATGGGGAAAGGAGTGTTGCGAAGAGGGGGTGGAGGGGTGTGGGCTGAAAGCTTAACAGCCCTCGCCAGCGACCCTGACCTTCGACCCCATCGCAGCTGTCATCGTCTGCAAAAAAAAAAACAATGAGCAGCACGCTGCCACCACACAGGTGGAGTTACTCCGCACACTTCCACGGCCGTGGGAGACGGGTGGAGGGTGACAACGGGGGAGGGAGAGCGCCCGGCCGGGCAGAGAGAGAGACACTAAGATAGTCACGTTGCGAGAGAGATGGATATTTAACGATTCCTTTGTGAAAGGCGATATTCCAGAATTCGCTGCTGTTGCTATTGCTCTAGCTAATGTCGCTGAAAACGCCATGGCAGACACGCGGAGGCTTAGAGGGATGAGACTCAAATCTACAGACTGGCATACTCATGAGCGGTTCCAATGAACAATACAACTCGCTAGCCGTGGACGGACGAAGTATGGAGCGCCGAGCGGGAAGGTGACGAGAGGGAGAGGGAATGAGATGTCAGCGACGAGAGGGTGGTGATGATGATGATGACGATAAGAGGGTGTTGATGATGAGAGGGTGATGATGATGATGATGAGAGAGAGGAGGGAAGAGAAAGAGAAGGTCGGAGCGAGCCGAAGGAAGCTGCACGCAAGAGCAGCGTCTGTTTTTTTCAAAGTGGGCGGGGACGGGGAGAGGTGAGGGGTTCAGAGTGGGGGAGAGGTACAGATCTATAGACGAGAAGGGAGGGCACCCCATTGCAGGATCCGGACCATGTGCCACAGTTACTCTGCCATCCTGGTTGCATGGAGATGCCTGACGCAGTCTCAAGCGAACCGCCGCGCGTCTAGAACGCTCCAATTGGCCGTGAGAGTCATTCCGCCGGCGAGCGAGACCAATCAGCGGTAGTCGGCGCGCTAAACACCGATTCGATGTATTTGGCTGTCGGGCCAAGGAGGAGCCTTTATAAAGAGTTCTGACCCAGATCAACGCTCGTTAAATTACGAGTCGGCAGATATACACACGGCCACGTGGCTTTGATTGTTCGTGTAGTTTTATGGGCAAATTCCAAACTGCGGATAACATATGAAATAATAAACAGACGTGACCTTTATGAACTTGCTGTATATATTGAATCGCGTTTGTGATCCTTAAATGTGACAATTCATTGAACAATTCGGGTGACTGGCTGGGTGGCTGTCTGGCTGTCTGGCTGGCTGTCTGGCTGGCTGGCTGGCTGACTGGCTGGGTAGCTGTCTGGCTGGGTAGCTGGGTGGGTGGCTGGGTAGCTGGGTGGGTGGCTGGGTAGCTGGGTGGGTGGCTGTCTGGCTGGCTGGGTGGCTGCATGGCTGGGTAGCTGGGTGGGTGGCTGACTGGCTGTCTGGCTGGCTGGGTGGCTGACTGGCTGGGTATTTGACTGTCTGGATGACTGGGTGGGTGGCTGGCTGGGTGGGTGGCTGGGTGGGTGGCTGGGTGGGTGGCTGATAGGCTGTCTGGCTGGCTGCATGGTTGGGTGGCTGACTGGCTGAGTGGGTTAGTGGGCGGCTGGCTGGGTGGGTTGGTGGGTGGGTTGGTGGATGACCGACTCGGTGGGTGGGTGAGTCTTGGTGAGTCGTTACACACCATACTCTGCTTAATTAGCCATGCATTGCACCGCATCGCACCGCGCCCATTTACACCCACGAGCCAAAGGGGATGGTCGGTACCAAATGCTTCCAGTATGCACCATGGGCTGTGTCCACAATGGGCAAAATATTCGCCTATGTATTAATGTATGTTTTATAAACACATCTCCTATTTGTTTTGATCTTATGTAGAAGGTTCACATCACATTGAATGATTTGTTCCTTTCTAAAATGATAATTCGCCATATCAAACACACTGTGGTAGCAATATATGTTTTTTTATATCTATTACACAGATTTGTGATCCAGAGATAAAACCGTTCAGGAAAATCACCGTTAGCATTTGCCACCCACGGTGGTACTGACAAGCAATTTTTCGGGGCATTGACCGGAAGACCATTTCTGCACACCAGGGGGGGGGGGGGGGCAAACTCATGCCGGGGCGGCGAGGGGAGCGGCACTCGGCAAACGGGTGACCTGGGCAGGAGCTGCGCCCGCATCGCGCTGCACGGAGACCACCTCCTCCTCCAGGCGGCTCATCTGGAGCCGCAAGGTGCCCACCAGGCCCTCCACCCACTGCCGGGGGGGCAGCCGGGAGGGCGGCACGTGGGTCGGGAGGTGAGGTTGGGGGGGGTGCGGGGAAGGTGAGGAGTGGGGGGGGACACATGCTCCATCATCACAGGGGGTGTGGAACGCGGATCGTGAAGAAGGCCCCAAAGCCGTCCGCCTTTCCACGCTTGCCAGCCATCTCGGTCTCTGTCTCGGTCTCCGTGTCGCGTAACCGCTGGGTAGCTCTGCGAGCCGCGCCGGCTCCGTGCCGCGGCCGCCACCTCCGCATCAGCGCGGTGAGCCGTGGTTTTTCACGCGTGAGTCTGTCTTTGTATTTACTTCTTGTTATATATATACAAACACGTAAATAACTATTATCCCTTTCGCGCCAATTCTTCGCGAATCGGCGCAACCGGTGCCGAGTCGCGAGGCGACGACAGATCTATTGGGGTGTCTTGCCGAACGGGCCCACATAAGCGGATATCACAGAACTAGTTCTGAGCAAGGTGGTCCGCGGTCTAACGGTGACTAGTAAATAGTAAAACAAAACAAACAGTCAGTGGCGATAACGAAACAGACGAGCGCGAGCGAGACGTCCTCCCGTACCTCTCGGTCAGCCGGGCGTGCCTCTCCAGCGTCCTCCACCTCCATGGCGGTGATCTTCAGCTTGAGGGAGGACACTTCCGTCACCAGGTCCACCTTCTGCGTCTCCAGGTTGTTCCGAGCGAGCAGCTCCTGCGGAGCGACAGACGACGCGTCCGCGATGGATGAAACGTCAACAAGCCGCGACGGCTAGGCTCGCAAAAACCGCAACGCCGCCGACACCACCGCCGCCACCCCCAAAGACGCATCGCTGGTGGTGGTGGTGCCGTAGGGTTGGAGACAGCGCCGCTCCACCGGAAGTCACGCGTGGCGGCACCGCATAGGGCCGGCGTGCTCGCACGCTGCGCGTAATGGGCGGCTGCGCCACACTGCGCGGGCGGTGCCAGCCCTGTCAGGTCTCGCGGTGGCGCGGGAAGCGATGCCCACATTAGCCTGGACAAAACCACGGGGTAGGTGCTGGAAAATCTTGATTTAATATTTATTTTTCCTCTTTGCTTAAAATATGACTTTGCCTTTTAAGCGAATGACACGGCTGTGATTAGGGGCCACTTTTCTCTCGTTTTTTTCCCTTGTAACAGCGGCGCAGGAGGAGGAAGGAGGCGGCGTGGGGGAGAGCAAGAGGCATTGTACAGCCGAAACGCAACCGCTATTTAAACCAAACGAGAGACCGTGAACGGATTTTCCAGATGTTTCGTTATTTTACAACCTCGCACAGCGCACGCTCGCCGTTCCGTGGACCGTACGACGGCCGGGGCCACTCCGAGACGTGACCACTAACCCCATCTCACGCATCAATAAAATATATATTTATTTGCTTGAAAATAAAGGTGCAGCCCCCTGCAAGTGCTCTTCTTGCACCACCGCTGGCGGAAGAGGCATCTGCCAGAGAGCCCCTCCTCATGCAGGCTTGGCTGACTCACCCGCGTTGAGATTATTTGTCACAATCGTCGAACGGCAACCAACCACTCGGATCGCTCGCAGCCAAGCAGCGAAATACACATCGGTGGGCTGCGTGGGAGAAATTTATTGTGATTTGGGAAAATTGTCAAACAATTTGCACAAATTGAGGCACGGCAAGTATAGGGGTTCGAGAAGCTGCGTGGTGGACTGTCAACTCGGATGGCTCGGTGGGGGGGGGAGGGGGGGGGGAGACGTCTCGAGAAGGGAGGATAACCACTCGGGAAGTAGAAAGGAGAGGACCTTTGAAGGAGCTGGGGCAGGAGACCGAGGCAGCGTCGAGAGAGACGGAGGGGGGGGGGATTATGAGCGGTGTGACCAGGGTGAGAAGGGCTGTGTGGGTGGACTTGGAGGAGATGGTTCCAATCAAAGCTGCTCGATGCTGCCGTGCGCTCGTCCCGGCTGGCACACAGGCGGGCGTGGGCACATCGCCACGTGCCTCCGAGCTCGCGAGCGGACAAGCGATGAGTGTGCGATACAAATTGTTTAATGGTTCTATCGTGATTATAATAATTATTATTTATTAAAGGACAGGAAAGAGGGGAAAGAGAGGGGCAGCAGGAAGGCGGCAGAGCCCACACGAGCGGGGGAACACTCCAGCAAGAGGGCGGCTGAGCCCACACGAGTGGGGGAACACTCCAGCAGGAAGGTGGCAGAGCCCACACGAGTGGGGGAACACTCCAGCAAGAGGGTGGCAGATCCCACACGAGTGGGGAACACTCCAGCAGGAAGGTGGCAGAGCCCACACGAGTGGGGGAACACTCCAGCAAGAGGGTGGCAGAGCTCACACGAGTGGGGGAACACTCCAGCAAGAGGGCGGCAGAGCCCACACGAGTAGGGAACACTCCAGCAAGAGGGTGGCAGAGCTCACACGAGTGGGGGAACACTCCAGCAAGAGGGTGGCAGAGCTCACACGAGTGGGGGAACACTCCAGCAAGAGGGCGGCAGAGCCCACACGAGTAGGGAACACTCCAGCAGGAAGGTGGCAGAGCCCACACGAGTGGGGGAACACTCCAGCAAGAGGGTGGCAGATCCCACACGAGTGGGGGAACACTCCAGCAGGAAGGTGGCAGAGCCCACACGAGTGGGGGAACACTCCAGCAAGAGGGTGGCAGATCCCATACGAGTGGGGAACACTCCAGCAGGAAGGTGGCAGAGCCCACACGAGTAGGGAACACTCCAGCAGGAAGGTGGCAGAGCCCACACGAGTGGGGGAACACTCCAGCAAGAGGGTGGCAGATCCCACACGAGTGGGGGAACACTCCAGCAGGAGGGCGGCAGAGCTCACACGAGTGGGGGAACACTCCAGCAAGAGGGCGGCAGAGCCCACACGAGTAGGGAACACTCCAGCAAGAGGGCGGCAGAGCCCACACGAGTGGGGAACACTCCAGCAAGAGGGTGGCAGAGCCCACACGAGTGGGGAACACTCCAGCAAGAGGGTGGCAGAGCCCACACGAGTGGGGAACACTCCAGCAAGAGGGTGGCAGAGCCCACACGAGTGGGGAACACTCCAGCAGGAAGGTGGCAGAGCCCACACGAGTGGGGGAACACTCCAGTAGGAAGGTGGCAGAGCCCACACGAGTGGGGAACACTCCAGCAGGAAGGTGGCAGAGCCCACACGAGTGGGGGAACACTCCAGCAGGAGGGCGGCAGAGCCCACACGAGTGGGGGAACACTCCAGCAGGAAGGTGGCAGAGCCCACACGAGTGGGGGAACACTCCAGCAGGAAGGTGGCAGAGCCCACACGAGTGGGGGAATACTCCAGCAGGAAGGTGGCAGAGCCCACACGAGTGGGGGAACACTCCAGCAAGAAGGTGGCAGAGCCCACACGAGTGGGGGAACACTCCAGCAGGAAGGTGGCAGAGCCCACACGAGTGGGGGAACACTCCAGCAGGAAGGTGGCAGAGCCCACACGAGTGGGGGAACACTCCAGCAAGAGGGTGGCAGAGCCCACACGAGTGGGGGAACACTCCAGCAAGAGGGCGGCAGAGCCCACACGAGTAGGGAACACTCCAGCAGGAAGGTGGCAGAGCCCACACGAGTGGGGGAACACTCCAGCAAGAGGGTGGCAGAGCCCACACGAGTGGGGGAACACTCCAGCAGGAGGGCGGCAGAGCCCACACGAGTGGGGGAACACTCCAGTAGGAAGGCGGCGAAGAGGCCGAGTTATGTCTCCGACATCTTCAGAGAAAATCAGCGACTGTCCGAGCGCCCAGGGCCTCGTAGGGCTGCCTGATTCCCCCTCATCCCCCCTCATCCCTCCTCCGCAAACAACGCATGCCATCGAAGATACCGAGTTAAACCCCGGGGGAATCGGCCCCGCACCGATGACGTCCTCGCGAGCCCGAGATGTAACCACGCACGGCGCTTGACAATGGGCAAGGATCACGTGGCACGGCCGCATGGAAGCCATCGCGATGAGGGCGATGAGGGCGTTGATGTCCCCAGTCGTCACGAGGATAGGAATCTTGATTATAATAATAACACTGGGATGTTCGGCCAATTCATTTTCGTACATGGGTGTTTTGTGTAGGTGGGTGTGTGAGTGTGGGAATGAGGCATTGGGTGAGTGAGTGGGTGAGTGTGTGGGTGAGTATGGAATGAGTGAGTTCGTGGGTCGGTGAGTGGGTGGGCGAATGAGTGAGTGAGTGTGGGAATGAGCTAGTGGGTGGGTCGGTGAGTGGGTGGGTTGGTGAGTGAGTGTGTGGGCGGGTGGGTGAGTGAGTTTGTGGGTGAGTGAGTGCGTGGGTCGGTGAGTGAGTGAGTGGGTGAATGAGTATGTGGATGGGTGAGTGAGTGGGTGAATGAGTGGGTGAGTGTGGGAATGAGCGAGTGCGTGAGTGAGTGTGTGGGTGAGTGGGTGAGTGAGTATCCCCACCACTCGCAACGCGCCCTCACCTGCTGCAGCATCTCCTCGGTGCCGGTGAGCTTCTCGCGGTGCTCATCCAGACAGAACTCGAGCTCTCGGATCTTGTCCCCCTGCGCCTCCACCTGGTCGGTGAGCACGCTCACCTACACGCACGCACAAAGACCCCCGTATAGCCTCAGCAGACTGTTGAGGCAAGTGTTGTTAGTGATCACTATGAAGGTTGGAACGGTATACGAAGGGGAGGGTGGCCAGCACCACGCCCGGCCGCCTTTGTCTCCCTCGTGGTGATGTTTACACACCGCACTGGGTACTCAATTGAGGCCGAGTCTACCTAGGGCAGGCCGAGAACCGGGTCAAATAATTGTCACTGGTGTTGGCGGAAATAGAACTCGGGTCGTCGGTTTCGTAGAGCGGCACGCTCAACATTCCTCTACCGCACACGCACACACACACGGACAGCCGCACGCACACACATTATCGGACAGCCGCACACGCACGCACACGACGGCTGTCACCCACGTGGCCTCTCCGTAGGCTGTGGGTCGAGCGCTACTAACGAGCGTTCACAGTGTAACTAGGAGACGGCTCATGAAGACATCTGGACGAGTCTCATTTGCAAGGGTGGTTGATTCGCGTATTTGATGTTGAACTTTTTTTGCACCATACGTAGCCAAACGTGCTAATTGGAGGTGCGGGGGGAAGGACGACAAACTAAACACAAAAAACCTGTTCAAAGAAATGAGATTTAAAAGTGGGTAGCTCCAGCTGCTTCCAAATATCGGAAGGAATAGATTTCCATACGGCCGCAGAAGCGCATCTGAAAGTGCGATGTGTTCCCCATCTTTAATTGAAGGCCAGCCAAAAGCTGTTGCTGGGAGGATGACCGAAGTTCACGTGATGAAGGTTTATGTCCCTTGACAATAGGTGGTGCGGATAGCAGCACACACACACACAGTTGCTGCTGCTGCTGCTGTTGCTGCTGCTGCTGCTACTATTGCGGCTGCTGCAGCTGCTTCTCACCTGCAGCACGAGTGACTCCCGGTCCTCCTCGAGACGGGAGAGCCGCTCCTGGTAGTCCTCGCCCTCCGACCCAGGCTGCCCGTTCTTCTGCAAACACAAACACGCACAAAGACAAAGGTCACCCCTATAGCCTCAACAGACTGGGGGGGGGGGCCCATGCCGTTTCGCGAGTAGCACCTATGAAGGCCGGCACGGTACACGAGGGAGTGGGTGGCCAGCACCAGGTCGGGCCGCCTTTGTCTCGCCAGTGGCGATGTTTACGCGTCGCACTAGGTTATTCATTTAAGGCTGAGTTGATCTAGGGGAGGCACAGGACCAAGTTCAGATAATCCTCACTGGTGTTGGTCGTGAGCGGGAATGGAACTCGGGTCGCCGGGTTCGTAGCGCAGCGTGTTAACCACTGCACTACCGATCCCCATATAGGCATAACAGGCTGTTGGAGCGAGTGCTGTTAGTAAGCACCTGTGAAGGCCGGAATGGCACAAGAGGGTGGATGGCCAGCACCCCGCTTGGCCGCCTTTGTCTCGTGAGTGCCGATGTTCACTACACACCGCACCGGGTACTTGTTTGAGGCCGAGTCGACCGAGTCTCGACACGCACATCCTCACTGACTCGCCACGTGAATACCATCGGGGGCCGTGCGAGTTTCGTTACATTCTTCCCTTCGACAGGGGAAGCGAGCGCACGAGAATATTTCCCCGTTTTTACAGCCGCACGGGGCGCCGCGTGTCTCTCCGACGCAACAGCTGGCGTCGCGAGTCGCCGGGGCGGCATGCGCTGCAGGAATGTCTCCACCACCCAGTCCGGGCGACGAGAAGAACGCAGGCACCGCACTCTCCCCCCGGGCCCCCCTCCGCCCCCGCAGGCCCACGCGTGCGCACGCACACTCGCTCAGGAGCTGTTCGCCACGGCGCGTTTCCCAGGAGAGGCGTCCCGGCTGCCAGAACTCGCGAAGCCGCGGGAATTCGCCGCGCACGCCGCCGAAGAGCGGTGACGCCGCGGATTTCGTGAAGCGTCGTGCCGCCGGCTGAGTGACGCCTGAAGACGAGGAGGTCCCGGCACCTGGGACTCGGCGTGAACCGATGTGAAGTGGCTCAGGAACGATGAGGAGATGCAGCGCTCAATGGGCCGGGGACTCAATATATATCTGTGACGCAGTACCCTTAGGACGCGAGATACCCGGGTCTCGAGGGACACGGGACTGAAGACAACAGGGACTGAAGACAACAGGGGCTCAAGACGCTTGACGCTTCAGACTCAGGAGACTAGCTGCTAAGGGACTTCGGAATAAAGAGGCCTGGGACCCAACAGATCTGTGAGTAGAGGCATCAAGGACTCAAGACACCCATCAGCATAAACGTGCATGATCCTATTAAACTGTAAACTACTTTTTTATTTAACCAGGTAAGGCCCCACTGAGCTACGTAGCTCTTTTTCAAAATCTACCTGGCCGCAAATGATAGTACAACTAAGTGGCTTATCATATGGAAATATATAGCAGCCAAATACTCTCAAAGGGGTGACGTTGACTCTGAATGTCGAGGAGAAAAAAGCGGAGAACCCGGAGGAAAATCCACGTGACCACGTGGAGAACACGCAAACTCCAAATATACAGCAGCAGGTGTCAGGGTCGGCATTGATCTCACGACCTCCTGCATACCAGGCGAGGTAGCTAACATCTTAACACCGTGGCGCCCCACAGCATAGGCCCAAGCCACTATTACCCAGCACCATACAAACGCCATCCGCCGGACAACAACCCGAGCCATTTCAAGAACGCAGCTTTATTTATAAGTTACAACTTTTCAAGCCATGGAGGGCTGCCCCGGCGTCACGGCCAGTAACAACGGCGTTGTAATCGACACCGAAATCGCAACGATTCCATCTCCTGGTGAGGCAGTTGATAAAATGGACGAGTGACCCCCCTACCCCCACCTCCAGCCCCCACCACCAGCCCCCACCGTCAGCCCCCCACCGTCAGCCCCCCACCGCCTCTGTCCACCCAGCAGCAGGAGGAACAGGCACACCACAGTTAGCATCGACTGGCAGGACGTGTCTGTTGGGGTAAAGTGTGGGGTAAAGTGTGGGGTAAGGTGTGGGGTAAAGTGTGGGGTAAAGTGTGGGGTAAAGTGTGGGGTAAGGTGTGGGGTAAAGTGTGGGGTAAAGTGTGGGGTAAAGTGTGGGGTAAAGTGTGGGTACTAACCCCTCCCCCCGGCCTCTTCTCCCAAGACGAACCGGCCAGCTAGGAAGGGTGCGAACACAAAGCCCCCGCGCGAGGGGGAGGGGGGGCGCCCCTTCCGCGAGAGAGCAAATCCCAGGGCTGGGCCTTCACCATCAGCACTCGACTCCCGCAGCCACGCGCACGTGGCCGAGACCCGACTCGGTTAAGGGGGTGGGGGGCATCAACGGGCAGGTTCACTGGCGCCACCACAAGCCCATCGCAGGGCCAGAGTCGCTGGGGAGCGACATTTCTACCCTCGGCGCTACAGCACCAACATCGCCATCATCGTCATCATCACGAAGAAGCGGGGGGGGGGGGGGGGGTGGTGAGGGTTGGAACGGGGCTGGGATTGTGGAGAGGGCATGGCGGGAGGCGAGTGGGGAGGCGGGAGGCGAGTGGGGAGGCGGGATTAGTGGGGAGGCGAGTGGGGAGGCGGGAGGAGTGGGGAGGCGAGTGGACAGGAGGAGTGTTCCGTTGGACGGGAGGAGCCGCCGTGACCCACTGAGACGGTGGCTGTCTCTGCCGTGCGACTGCGGCGTGCCTTTATTACAATCACAGCATCATTGTTCTAATTATCATCCCTTGTCCATTTTAAACATATGCAAGCTAGAGTCATCGTATGGAATGTTAAGTGAGAGTGAGTGGGCTCTGGGCGGAACGCGTCACGGCTCAAGGGGGTGGTGGAGGCGCCGGGGGTCGAGACTGGCGACGGAGCGGCAGCCGAACGAGGGAATGTAAACACGTGTTAGGGCAGGCGGCCTGGGGGTTCATTATTCAGTACCTCTACTTGTACACATTCATATTAACAAAGACAAAGATCCCCTACCCGCCCCCCGTGTCGCCTCCAGGGGCAGTTGGATAAAGAGCCGTTAGCGAGCACGAGGGTAGAGTGTGTGGCCAGTACTACCCCCGGCCACCTTTGTCTCCCCAGTACACCCACTGCCCTCATGTAAACCTTGGTCAACCAATGGCAGTGCCCCCCCCCACGCCCCCCAGGACCAGTGTAGATTATACTCCCCGCCACTGATGCTAGCCGTGGCCCGGAACGGAACTCAGGTTAAAGGTCCGTAGCGCAGTTCACTAACCATTCAGATCAACACAACAGCCGCCATTCACGACTACGTGGCAAGTGACGCTACAACGGCGCTTGTGCCAGGGCTAGGTGCACTCCCGAGGCCACGTGAAGTGTCGAAAGCTCGCTGACAGGTCACGGGACAGACCCAGGTGCCATGTGTTGACTGACTGGGACGACTGACAGATGCACCACCTGTGTCCCCTGCTGTGCCAACTTGCTACGGTACATTTCAGCAGCCCGGCTAACACACAGATTAACGCGCACTACACACACCACACTTGGGGATTCTGTTGTTTTTTATTGAGAAAGGGTCGGGTCTGCTCGTGGCGAGGAGTCAGCCTTTTTCCGGCGCTGACTCAACAAAAAGGAAGTTATCGCGTTTCATTAACAGCTTTTATTTGACAGCTTTTATCTGACACTGCGTAACAATGGCAAAGTGGGGGCGAGATCTAGCCATCACCTCGGCCACACAGACTCAGCACAGCTCAGCTCTGATACCAACTCTCGTGCAGATTACAGGGCACTTTCAACGATAATTTAGTTGACATGACAGCAATAATAACTCACACAAAGCACAACCATCGCCTCCCTCCTGCGAAAACTCGCCAATGACTCACTTGAGTCACAGCTCTCTTAGTCACAACAACAACTAGCCACTGAATCAGGGTCATTGACGGTGATGTCACCACGGCGATTGTGCCAGGCTAGGTGCACTTTGAGGTCACGTGAAGTGTCGAATGCTCGCTTGGCAGGAGGTCACGGGACAGACCCAGCAGGTGCCATGTGTTGACTGACTCAGATGACTGTCAGGATGCACCACCTGGTCAAAATCTTAGTCACACACTCGTGGCTATTAAATGTTTATTTAACGTAAACATTTTGATTCAAAGCTTTCGTGACTGCAGGGATTCATATTCTTGGTTCTATCGGTAAAGTCACGTAGAAGGGAAACATTAAAATAATAAAAATATAAAACAATACAATTCTAACGACGTTTCGACTGCAACACAAGCAATCTTCGTCAAATACTGTAAATGCGTGTCTCTAAATGTGGAGAGAAAAACTCAGAGGACCCTGAGAAAAACCCACGCGAACACGGGGAGAGAGACACAAACTCCAAATACTGCACAGGAGTCTGGGTCAGGATCGATCCCACGACCTCCTGTATACCAGGCGAGGTAGTTAACATTCGTGGGCAATTCCCCCCTCCCCCCATTCCTCCACAACCAATACCATCAGGTCCGGGAAAGTCGTGAAGAGCAACACGTCATTGTAAGGATTCATTCACATTGGATCGGCTGGTCTATGTGAGAGTTCTCACGCGCACTCGTTACTGCTGGCAGCGCTAGCGCATTCGTACCTTCAACCTCAATAAAGGCCGTTATCGTTGTTGTTCTTACAATGAAATATATGTAACCACATGACGGCATGGGTTGGTGCAGTGGTGACAGTCGTGCCTCACAGCCAGCAAATTCCTGGGTTTGATCCCTGACTCGGGCGTCTTTCTGTCTGGAGTTTGTATGTTCTCCAATCTGTTATGTGTGGGTTTCCTACGGGACCTCCCATAGCTAAAAAAACACACACACAGACACAAAGAAAAAACAAAGATCCCCTGTATAGCCTCAAAAGACTATTGGGGCAAGTGCTGTTAGCGAGCACCTATGAAGGCAGGCAAGGCACACCAGGGAGTGCGGTGGCCAGCACCACGCCCGGTCGCCTTTGTCTCCCCAGTGGAGATGTTCACACATCACACCAGGCAGTCATTTGAGGCTGAGTCGACCTAGGGGAGGC